GAGCTTCTTATTCTCTTCATTTAAGGAAGTGATGAAACGAACCTCATTAACTTTGGTGCTTTCATCACCAGCTCTCCTCACAACTTGAGCTAGAAAAGCTTCATGTCGAGATTCACTGCGTTGATGACGAGCATACATTCCTTCCCTCAACTTCAAGCTGCGCACGGCTTGCCATTCATTCACACGGTTCAACTTTTCTGATGTGCGCTGCAACTTTTGCATTCTCTCATTCTCTAACTCAATTCTGATCCTCATAGCTCGTGCATGTTTTTCCTCTGCTTCCCTTTTCAAATCCAGAGCAGTTTTCTTCTTCTTCTCAGGAGACATCAGTTTATCATGCAGAGTTCGTGCACGTTCAGCACTTTTCCTGTTCAGTCCTGGGGAATGTGAAATACGTGAAGAGACACGAATTGGAGATGAAAGTATCTCCTCCCAGTTCCTCTTCTCCTTCCAAGCATCTAAGGTCTTCCATGAATTTACGTTTCTTTTTTCCTTATCATTTCCACAAAGTGGACCATGCCTTTTTAAATGATCCACATATTTGGGCTGTCTATGAACCATACCCTCTGACGGAACTTTGTCCTTCCGAGCAATCAGCTTCTCTGGTTCAGATCCTTGTTCTCTGGAGCTCTTTCTTGTAGAGAAAGATGCACTTCCATTCTTCGAATGTGGCTTTGATATGTCAAAGTCTCCTGGAGAGTGTAAGTTTTGGGAAGGGACATGGCCACTTTGCCCAAAATTTACTTTGCCGGGCCTCCCTGATTGGACCTTTTGCATCTCTACAGTCGAGCTCCCACAGACAAGATCAGATCTTCCATTATGCTTTCTAGATTTTGGGGCCATATCTTTGATACCGACACTCATATCACTTTTTCCATCAGATTTACTTAGACGGTCCAACATATGTTGGCATTTTAAACACTCGGATGCCAGAGAATTTGCACTGTCGGCAAGATGAAGACTCGCCCTTTCATGTTGTATTTTCCTGAAAGCCTCAACAGATGAAGATAGTATCTCTGCTCTGTGGGGTGAAGTTGTCATTCTCCGTACCTGCACGCAGTGTAGAGTGGGTGACCATATTTATCAGAGACGTAAGTATAAGAGGTTTAGTTCCCAAAAATTTGCAAGCGGTCTGATATATTATCAGGAAAGAAATTACTACAAGATCATAGCTTATTTCAGCCGCAAAGTGGTTGATAAATTTCATTGTGACTATGCTTTGGGTAAATCTTATTAAGGCCATCAGCAGACTGTTTTGCCCAAATGATAGACACAAGGACAAATCATGAATTACTCCACTTAATTCACTTTCATTCACATAGTAATGGACCATGGTGCCCGCATATCACATAAACGCAATTAAATGCCCAATTGATGATCTCCGCAATTGAACTGCATATTTAAGCAATTTTATCATTTAACATGAGCAAATCTGGAACCAGGCTTACCTCCCATGAGAGAGCATGTGGCCGGCGATGATCAGTCTTCAAATTAATTGGTAGTAAATCAGGTGATGATAAAGCAGATTTCTTCACATTTTCAAATTTCTCTACTCTAGAGGCCAGCTCCTTAAAATCGGATGCAGCTTCCTCCAATACAAGAATGGCCTCTTTCATCTGCTCCAAGTCGCATTCTAGCTCACACAGAAGATAAAGTTCATCAACAGCCCTATTAAGATTCTCAAATAGAAAGCACCAAAGGCGCTGCCTGAACCTTTCCTTGCTTTCAGTGGAATCGTCTTCTGCAGGAACACCAATGATCTGACCTTTTGGTGCGTTGTTAAGTGGTTGGGCCCCAGAGTCTCCAACAGAAGCTGCTGAAGTAGACTGCCCAGAAACTTCATACTTGGTGTCTTCGGATGGAGCATCCTGAGATGTCAACCCTGTGTTCAAGGATGCCGCTGAATCAGCAATTCCTGGAGTCTCCAGATCACTCACCTGAGAATCTGGAATGACTTTGACAGGCACTCCATCCTCATCACTAGAAGCACGAACACCAACTGGGTACTCATTATTTACAGGTTTGAGATGCTCATTGCACTCTTCCCTGCAACTGAGAGCATCGTCATAAGGACAGATGATTTTCTCTTGGACGATCGGCAGCTCGCTAGTTTCCAAAGTTGCACCATTCATATCATTACAATCCTCTTCGCTCTTAGGTGCTAGCGGAAGCACCTGACTGGAAACACGGGGATCTACAGGAGTACTTGCCATGTTTCATGTCCTCGTTATCTCGTCATATTAAGCCTGATTTAAGTCAAAATGTCCAGGAGCTTATTGATCCCTGTAACCAGAACTTGCCAGTGCCAAAATCATCAGACATAATTTCCATTCCGATATTTCTTTCATGACGCGGAATCAAAGTATTCTCCTGTAGAACCACCCCGCCCGGTGAATTCATCAACATAGGATCATTTTCAAGTTCGCAGGGGAACTATCGCAAAAAAATAGTTTAATTTCCAGGTATCTTCAAGAGCAGCCGCAATGCAAAATGACATCCTTCGAGAAACAGAATTTTTCACGCTGGCGTTAAGGAGCACTTTCCCAACAACCCTGTTAGCAATAAAAATACCAAAATTCAGCAACTTCTATTCTATGTGATCCTGCAAAGAAAAGGCAAGCAAAAAGAAGCCCATTTTCCGTCATGATCAACCCTTCAAAAGAGCTGCCTCTTCCCGGAGAAGAAGAGAAACCCATCAGAGAATCACGACTACACGCGTGGAAAAAGGAAAAAAGAACGAAACTTTCCAAGAGAATTCAACATAGCTAAGCCCGTATCGCCAAGAAAGCAGAATCAAGAACACATCACAACACGAAATAAGCTGGAAAAAGATCGAAACCATCGTCGCCAAACGCGAGAACAGATTCATCCCATGACTTGCACAACACGTAGCAACGCTCAATCCTCGTTTTTTCAAGGGTACAAAGCAAAAATCGCAGCGGATCGTTGATCATTTCCGAAAAGTTCATTCACGTTGACGAATGATCACAAGCAAACCGCATTTTGGGTTCGGAAGTTAGGAACCTGTCGCGATCCGACCTTTGGTCCGACGAAGGGAATGATGGCGTGTCGTGGCGAGGCGAAGCGGAAAAACCCCCCACTCCTGCAGAGGAAACGAAGGTCATCGAGAGAGAGAGAAGAGAGAGAGAGAGAGATGTATGTCTCGCTTTCTTGGGCTTTGCGACTCCACTATGCTCGGCCCAGCTTGCTTTTTCAATAGTATCCAACGCTATCCCAAGTGGAAAGTTTCTTACGCCGAGCGCACACACGTGAGCTCACTTCATCTTAACCGTGCCCGTCGAACAGGCAACCGTTCAAGCATTGCTGGTACACCTGGAACACAATATGAAGACACGCGAGTGTCCAATCGTGGTCTTACGAGTCAAGAATGATGATCTTTAAAGGTATGATCTTTAGAACCGAGGAGCCGGCGGTGTCGGCCCGATAAAAGGATGGATGTGGGAATCCGGTGCTGTGTGTGTGATGTTTCGCTGTTCTAAAGGTCGGTCTAGCTTTCATTGTTGACTGGCGGGGCTACTTACAAGCTTTGAACGACACAATTATAAGTGTCCTATGTAGAAGTCTAGTTGTCGATCTGTCCTTTAGTTGGTGGACTGATTTTCGCTTTTCACGCCCGGTTTACGAATGAATCCCAGAGGATATGATGCATCTAAAGTTTACAAAAAGACCCGATACCGAATCAGAAGTTATGGGGTAAAACAATTCATATATAAAGAGAGTTAGTACATGTGGATTTGGATGACTAAATAACATATTAGATGTCAAGACCTTGGATTAAGTCTTGCTTGAAAAGGCCAACATATTAAGGAAAAGGTATTTTTGGTACTTTAGTACCACATCATCAATTGATGTGATAAGTACCGGTCTAATCGAATCCGTTTAAAAAGTGACACGTGTTTATTTGTTTGGCTTGCAAGATGAAGAAGTCCAAAGGTTTCCGACGCATTAACTTGGATGAATACTTGCAAAATGGAAATGGCCTGCCAAAAACCCAATCATCCAACTTTCTTTCAAATTTCTTGCATGCTTTAACCAAATTCACTTATCCGACTTTCTCCTAAGACTTGTTTTTTCGTTTCAATTTCATAAGGAGAAGTTTAGAAAAGTTCATCCTCGAGTCTGCTTTCATGACCAATCTTTGAGATGCTTTGACCCTTTTAAATCTTAAAAATAAGACAACATAAGCTCATTTGGTCATAGATTCCCTCGCAACACTAATCCGGACAGAATCCGATTGTCTGTATTTATATGAAGATTTCACGTCGTCCTTGTGCATTACCTGCCTACGAGATTAGATCTGCAATAACATATCACTCCATGGAACGAGAGCAAAACAGACACTCAACCAAATCCAATCAGGAACAAATCTATAGCGAAGCGTAGACCACGTACCGTTTTATACACCAGTAGAACAGAATCAGACAAAATACCCCATCGCCTTTTCTAAACTTTCACTACTGTCCTCTGCACCAGATCTGTACCGTTGTGTGTGTGCGTACCGCAAAAGAATTTTATATACAAAAAAGCATGTTAACTTCTCTAGCTAATAATGCCTGACTCCTCATTACAAGAATGGAAGAATTTCTGTCGTGGCAAAAAGGGTAAAATATTTTATGTCTTGGGATGCATGTCGGCCGAGTATATGTGTTCTTGGGAGGACTCGCCTTCAAATGAACAATCAGGACCACATGGTTGTCGCCTCCATTCTTGCTTTTTGAACATGTTCGAACTGTTCCACCCACCAAAAGTCTCTCTTGCACACCGTGCGTTGTTAACTAAACCTCCACCGACTGCGTTCAAAACCCAACAAATTTCGATGCTGACCCCACTATGCTGACCCCCACTCAGTGAGCCATTGAGTGACAAATTGCCCACGAGACGGGTTTCCTTTGCCTTCTTGATAGCCACAGGAGAATCACGAGCTCATCCACACCGAGCTCATCCAAACGCAGCCATAGTAAGTGAAAGATCTCGGCTTTTTGGATAAAGTTGCGGACTTTCGCCTGCGTTTCTCTTCTTTTTTCCATACACCGAGCTTCACACTGTTACTGGGAATTCAGTCCATTCGAGGTTGGCATTTGTCAGGGTTTCCTTGCTTTTCTTGGATTGATGTGCTTTTCTTGAGGGCTGGTTCAAAGAATGTTCGTGGAGGCATCTTCTCTCCGTACAGTGCATGCAGTAGTGTAAACACCCTCTCATATCTAGCTGCTCGCTGTGGTCTGTTCTGCTGAGCTTCTGATTCTTCTTGCTTGTGTAATTTCTCTGAAGTTTCATCGAATGTGTTGTCGTCTTATACTTTAATGCTTTAAATGCCCTGTTCTTGAGGCACTACTTTTTCATGTTATAGAAATGCTGGAACTTCTAAACTTGATTTGAGCACCCTTTTAAGTTTTGGGCTGTTTGAAGGAGATATAAGCATCATTGTTGTTTTTCTACGACTTCCGATTTATGAATTTCAAAGTAACAGCATGGAGACTTGGTGGGTTTCATGGGTACATTCCTTTCTCCTGCAGTTTATCTTGATGACCTGAGCAATTGGTGTAGCTGCCATTGTCGGTATACTTTAAGCAATGGGATTATCCTCCCTAGCCTTGTTCATTATTATTGTTTCTTTCCGGCGGGGATTAGCTCAAGATGTTGCACATTCTACTCTCATCGTTCATGGCTCCGAGGCAATTGCAGAGACTGATGATAATTTCATTTGTGCAACTCTTGATTGGTGGCCTCATGATAAGTGCAATTATGACCAGTGTCCGTGGGGATATTCATCTGTTATGAATCTGGTAAAGATCTTGCAAAACTCATGGCTCGAATGCTCTTCCTAAGGATTTCTTTAGATTGAATTTAATACTCCAGTAATCTGATCTTTTGCATTCTTTATTTTTGGTATATTTCCAGAACTTGTCCCATCCTATACTGGGGAAGGCAATCCAAGGTTCGTACTCTAATCAACAAGCTTTCTTATATTAAGCTTTTGCAAATTATGCCTAAACTGCCATATTTTTTTGTTTGGGCAATATTTAAGTGCAATATAACAAATGGGTAAGTAATCCTTACCTACGAATTGACTTGCACAATTTCACGGGTGGGATCTGATGCAATGATAATGCACTTTCTCTATGGTGCCTTAAAAGCTTTCAAGAGTTTGAGGATAAGAATTGGAGGTTCCTTGCAAGACCGAGTATTGTATGATGTCGGGAACTTGAGACTTCCTTGCCACCCATTTAGAAGGATTGAAGGTAGCTTGTTTGGCTTTTCCAAGGGATGTTTACACATGAAGAGGTGGGATGAGCTGAACAATTTATTCAGTAAGACAGGGTAAGATTCTCATGCAAGATCTCATTGAGTCATTGATCCGAACTTGATTTCTGTCCAACCTCTTCCCAAATTAGCACTTGATATGCATGTACATACTAACATATGGGTACTAGATACTTTACTGCCTAGTAATAATGCCTCATAAATATGTTCCAGCCATGTAGCTAGTTCTTTCTTCGCCCAAAAACTGTCCATGTCACCATATAAGTCTTTTACGAGAAAATTGAATTTGTTTTGCAATATACAAGTCTTGTAGTTCAATATGATGTTCATAATTTACAACAGCAGTTTCAGGAAAAAGAAACTGGTAAGCAGATGATATGTCTCAAATGCAGGGCTGTCGTAACTTTTGGACTGAATGCACTTAATGGAAGGCAATGGATCAAGAACAACGTCTGGGGAGGGGATTGGAACTTCAGTAATGCTTATGATTTTATCAAATACACAGTTGCAAGGAGATACTCCATTGATTCATGGGAATTTGGTATAGAGTGGTACCGTTAACATTTGTGCTATATATCCATTTGATTGATGACCTCAACTTGTTTTTTCATCTCTCCTTGAAGGTAATGAGCTCAGTGGAAGTGGAATTGGTGCTAGCATCTCTGCTGAACAGTATGGGAAGGATCTAATTGTCCTTAAGAAGATAATCAATGAGTTGTACAAAAGTTCTCGTTCAAAACCTTCACTCATAGCACCAGGGGGATTCTATGATCGGGAGTGGTATGTGAAACTCCTGCAGGTTTCAGGTTCAGGTGTGATCAATGCAATGTCCCATCATATATACAATCTGGGTGCGGGTAAGCCAAATTCGTGCTTACTGGTTACTGATCTATGAAGTTTCTTAATGTCAGATTGCACAAGCTTCTGCCTTTCAACTTAGTATGATATATTATGCTTGTTATCATGTAATTCTACATCAACTCAAGTCTTCATCTACTGCTATGTAGTTGTTTGATGGGATAAGTGCAAAAACAAGACTTAAAACAATTGAAAATTTAAGGTTTTATTTTGGTCACCTGTAGACTTAAGGTTTTAAAAAGCCCCAATTAGTTCTCGAGCTCGCTGTTGGTGGAATTCAGGTGTCAGGAATGACATGTGGCAAATAATCAAATATTCCATGTGGGAGCCATGTCGGTTTCCAACACTTGAATTTTTACTGATAGTGAGCTCGAGACCTGATTAGGACTTTTTTCAAACCTCGTGTCCTCAATTGACCAAAATAGAACCTTTAAGTCCTTAATTAACCAACTGGCCAAAATGTTAAGTTCCGTTTCTGCAGGTATCTTGTTGTTTGACCATTGTGGCACATCCAGGTGTTGATCCTCATCTTGTCAGTAAGATATTGGATCCAAGTTACTTGAGTCAGATATCAGACACGTTCATCAACCTCGAGGAAACAATCAAGAAGCATGGACCTTGGGCATCTGCATGGGTTGGAGAATCTGGTGGGGCATACAATAGTGGCGGTCGTCATGTATCTAACACATTTGTTAACAGCTTCTGGTAATTTTGATACTTTGAATGGAAACTTTCGTGTACACCTTACTTGCCTTGGCTCATAAGGTGTGTTACGTGATATCTTTGACCCGACTCATTTGATACTATTCGGAGTAGGTATCTAGATCAGCTCGGAATGGCTTCTAAGTATGACACAAAGGTTTATTGCCGGCAATCTTTAGTTGGTGGGAATTATGGCCTCTTAAACACCACAACATTAGCACCTAATCCAGATTACTACAGGTATAAAACTAAAGTTCATTTATAGTTTTCTCCATCCCCAGTTAGTCCCTTTTTAATCAGCATGGCATCTTTCCTCCATACTTTGAAAGGCTAACTTGTGGACCATTTCTTGGCAGTGCCCTTCTGTGGCATCGACTCATGGGAAAACGCGCTCTTGCTGTCAGTGGTGACGCTCCACCATCTTTACGCTGTTATGCACATTGTTCAAAAGGAAGGGTAAGGTTTCGTCTTACCTCAATTTGAGTAGGAATTCGCCCCAAATGAACTCTACTAACTAGGGTACCTTAACAACTAGATGGCCAAACCAGACCGTTATTGGGTTGCAAACTTGCTACCTTGCTGTGCGTAAATTTTGTTAGTGTTTAACTGCAGTTAGAAATTTTCAGTGCATATGTTAAAAGCGAGGTCTCAGAGACTCTGGCCTATGATATATACATACATGTATATATATTTATGTGCGCGTATGTTCTTTCATTTAATGTTAAAAGTGAGGTCTCGGAGACTCTGGCCTATGATCTATACATACATGTATATATATTTGTGTGTGTGTGTGTGTGTGTTCTTTCATTTGATGTTAAAAGTGAGGTCTCGGAGACTCTGGCCTATGATCTATACATACATGTATATATATTTGTGTATGTGTGTGTAAGTGTGTGTTCTTTCATTTGATGTTAAAAGTGAGGTCTCGGAGACTCTGGCCTATTAATATATATACATACATGTATTTATGTGTGTGTGTGTTCTTGCATTTGATGTTAAAAGTGAGGTATAGGAGACTCTGGCCTATGATATGTGTATATATTTGTGTATGTGTTCTTTCATTTGCATTCTTGAGGTTATTTGGGAGGCGAGCATAGTACACATGAACTCAATTGTTGACTCTTGAAACAATCAACACTTTACCTTTTGCCCCCAAAGTTCAAGCATATAGTTGGTTTGAGATTGATATTTTGAGGGCAAAACATTGACGTTAATCTGCATTTTTCATCAAAAGCACATTCTTCACCTACCATGAGCAGTAGAAGTTAAGTTATTCTTCGTCGTGTCACAGGCAGGCATGACTTTACTCCTGATCAATTTAAGGAACGAGACTAAATTCATAGTGGGGACCCAGAGTAGTGTGCAGAATTTGCATGTGGAGGAACAATCCGTTGACGGAGGGAGCATTCTCATTCACGGATTGAAGAAAACTGTCTCGTTCGTCGGCAAAGGATCATCAGATGCTCCACTTTTCAGAGAGGAGTACCATTTAACTCCACGAGGCGGTTACCTTCAGAGTCAAACCATGCTCCTGAATGGAAGCCCGTTGGAGCTCACGCAGGACGGAGGGATCCCGCCTTTAAAGCCTAACCTTGTCCGTGCCGATTCTCTCGTATCGGTTTCTCCTCTGTCCGTTGCTTTCATAGTCTACCCGAATTTTGATGCTCGAGCTTGTGCTTGATTCGTCTGCGTGCAATCTGCGCTCTCTAGTCGAGCACCCGTGTATCATATTCGCATAATTAAGTGGCGCAAGCAAGTCGATGTAGCCATTTCAAGTGTGAGAGTAAAAAATCAACTTATTGATGTGTGGCCCCTATTGTATTCATCTGTTTGTGAGATTGGTATTGAAACTCTCATGGCAAAAAATGTGACTAATGCAGCGTTAGAGCAGTTGGGTTCTTCTCAATGTGTTCAGGTCACTGATATTTGCCAATGGCATCTTGCAAAAGCTGCAAATCTTTTGGTTCTTGAAGGAATGAACTGCTGAAGAAGTTGTCAAGCTCTGTTTGCTTCTACACTGAAAACCCTTTTTCGGATTAAAGGAATTAAGTTCCGGAAGAAACATCGTCATCACATGGTGATCTGAACACGGGATCTACCGCTTTATTGTAACTCGAGCAGATCACCAATTCGTCTCCTCGGTCCGACAACTTAGAATGAAGACCGACTGACTAACCGACCGACCGGCGCGAATTGAACAATCTACTCGTCGATTTCCAATATTTAATAGCTAATGCTTGATCAAATGTGTGATAAGTAAAAGCTTGAAAAAATCAGGTCTCTCTTTCGGCCAGGAAGCTCAATGAACAAGCTAAATCTCACAAGAAGGCCAAAAGTCCGAAAATCAAATGGGCGGGCCTGGAAAAAGGGACAGTGACCGTAGAAAAAGCCCGACCCGAATCGGCCCGGCCCGACTTCAAAGGTGTAGTCTTGAGCACGATCAGCCTCACAAAACTGTCTCTCTCTCTCTCTCTCTCTCTCTCTCTAGGCTCGCTTCGCTCGCGCTCCCATGGCGTCCGCCGCCGCCGCCGCAGCTCCGTCGAAGCCGGAGGTGCTGGCCCTGTTCCGGTCCCTGCTGCGCACGGCGCGCGCGTTCTGCGACTACAACGTGCGGGAATACGCGAAACGGCGGGCCGCCGACGGGTTCCGCCGCAACAGGGGCCTCGCCGATCCGTCCGCGATCTCCGCCGCCTTCTCCGACGGCAAGGGCCAGCTGGAGGTCGCGAAGCGGCAGGCCGTCGTCTACTCCCTCTACGCTCCCGAGGTCAAGAGCGTCATGGAGCTCGAGCGCTGAAAATCGGGGAGGGGGTCTTCCGTGCGCTTTCTCCCGTTGGGTCATCATCTGGGCTAGTCTTTTTTTGCTGAGGCTTAATGGCTGGTATGAGAAAGGAGCTCTCTTTTTTGTATTATATTGCGGTATTGAGGATTGAACAGTGTATTGGGATACGCAGTTTCAGCTTAATAAATGGTGAAATCATAGTTTTTTTGCGATTTCTTTCTTTTGTTTCTTGTGCTGCCATGCTTGAGGACTGTGTTGTTGTTTGACTCTCTGGTTTTTAGGACTTTGAGGTTGGTATGTCCCGCTTCTTGATGTGATCATTGCTCTGCCGGATATGCAACAGTGATTGATGACTGAGTGGATTTGCATGATGGGAATTCTATTACATTGTTTCCCCTCTTATAAATCATGAGTGCCCCAGAGAGTGAGTGGAGTTATGATTGCTTCTGCGTCGTTTCTTGGTTTGAAATGCGAGAGATATAGTTTGGAAAAGTGGGTTGCAATTTGATAGTAGATACATGGCTAGGAGATGGAGCTATGGTGCAGACCATGCTGCATTAGAAGGATGTCTGGTTTTTTTTATTATCACTTATGGTCATTTGGTTACATAGACTCAATAGATGATCGTGCGAGAATCTATTCATGGCCAGTCGGTGACCTAGTACTCTCGAATCTTGTTGAACAAGGGAATGCTTCTGTATCATTAGTTTAGAACTCTCAATTTGGTTGTGGCCCCGAGGGACAGCTCAAGCTGTTCATATCGAGCTATTATGCGCTTCTTTTGTGCCACAGAATGAGAATTCTTGCATGAGATTTTGCTTCAAGTAGATACTTTTCAGAAGTATATATAGAAGGTGGAAGGTTCTTGTTTCGTTCTTTAAGCGCCGTGATCTTTGTGCTGCCACAGTTGTTTATTTAAATACACGGGCTGATCAAAGTTGAATTTGCTCCACAGCTCAAAGTTTTCGTTGTGGGAGCTGGTGTCTTATCGACGTCTTCTGAGCACAGATTTTGCTATGTCTAAGGCGTGAAAATAATGTTATGTTATACCAATAACCGGCAGATAAATGCAATCATGAGATAATTGGTTTTTGTAGCTTGACGTGCTGGGTGAGCTTGAGTTCGTTGTGCTTAGGAGATCATGACTTTCAAAGGACTAGTGAGCTTGCACATATACTATTTAACTTTCAGTATTGTTTATTCATTCATTTTAGTCAGGTGAGCATGTGAACCACAGGAGGCCTCATTCTCTGTTTTTTGGCTTCATAAATGAACCGGTAAGAAAAAATGTTAGCATGCAGCCGGAAGACCATAACTTTCGGTGAAATTGCATCTTTCGTTGTATCGTGCTTCGTACTTTGAGTGATTGTGATTTTTTTTTGGACTAAGTGATTGTGAGTCTGTATTTGCTTGAGTTTTCGATGTTTGTCTTGTCATCGCTCGTTTCTTAAAACATGGAGTGCATTTGTTCCTACATCTGGTCATAGCAGGTAGAATGTGGACCAGGATTTTAACTTTAGTTTCACATGGTTATGGAAAAGTTTAAGCAAATTTGTTGCTCAAGGTGTGCTTCTATGAGCTCTCTTTGGGGCTTAAAATGAGTGACTGCTACGCATTAGCTTTCAGTTTTATGTAGAAGAATGAAGTTAATGATCCAATTTGTACCTCAAAGAGCATATGCCTATAAGCTCTCGCTCTTTGACGACTTCAATCAATTCATGCCAGGCATGTAACTATCAGTTTCAAAAGGTTATGTAGATATATGAGGAAAGTTTATCATTATCTCTCTTTGGCACTTAAATTGGTTGATGCTGGAGTGGAACCAAGTTTTATATTGAGAATCAGTTCTTGAGTTTCTTTGGTCGGATTTATTCAGAATGCATCATGAGAATCCACCTTCTGCCAATGGAAAGCTTGCTCCGTTAACCCCAAAACACGGTCGTACTTTTAGGATGGTGCCATGAGACGGCCTAGACGAAAACCCCAGCCTTGCCCGTCGCCACTTTATCAGTTACTAATTTTACGTTGAATGCTCAAAGATGAGCTCAGAAGAATAAAGATAAGCAAGAGCAGAATAAGCGGTTGCAGCATAGCTTCGAAAATCTCTTTGAAGAGCATCCATAAGCACTCTCATGAGACATGTTCTTTACAGTGTACAGGTTGCAAAGGCAGTACAAGAGAGAATTTGGGAAAAATCACATATGAGATGATACTCAGACTCCAAGTAGAAAATGACGGAAGGATGTGCTAGGCTAGCCCACTAGGAAAACAAATGAGCGGTCCGAATTCTACTTGCCGAGCAAACGGCGTCCACGCCGATTCGCTCCTTCAACCCGAAAAACAAGCTCCTCCGCATCACTATCGAAATGATCCAGAGCTTTGTTGTGCCTGCAACACGTATGTATCATTATGAGAAGAATTAGTAGAGTGGCCAAATAGCGATAAAAGAACAGATTGCTGTAGTACTGTGTAGTTTTTATTAGGGGAAAAAGGGGAAACAGCACTGTCCATACAATGTTTTGATTTAGATCAAATGTAGAACTTTTCTATTAGCCATTAGCGAGGATGACTCGGAGATAACTATTGATTTGATCATATGAGAAAATAAAGCTGCAAAATATATGCATGAGGGTCTTATTAAAAAGTACTCTCAACACATTGCTTAAGGTTGATAAAAATTAGTGAATACGCTCATTCAGAAACACTGAAACTCTGCGCATGAAAATCTCATTCTCATTTATGACATATATAACATAATTGGACTTGAGAATACTCGTTAATAACACATTATGTATGACGAGAACCGGTAACGCATTGAGAGAGAGAGAGTACAAAATAGAATTCCATCCAAAAGATCGACAACACTGACCTCTCAATTTCAGTTCCCATGTCAATAGCCATGTCCTTCAGATCCCCCAAAATATTGCTAATTTCTGAGAGAGAATCATCTTGCTTTGACTTTTCGACCTGTTCCACAATCATTGCAGTTGCAAACTAGTTATTGTGAAGGCCGGATAGACATGAGATTTTGAGCATTCGTGAAAATCAGTTGCACAAGAGAAATGGGAAAATGTTCTTGTCAAGGACTGAATTCACTGTCCCTCGTCTTTGGTTCAGATATTCTCCCACCAGGACTTGATGCATCAGTGCAGTCACAAACAAGATCGACGAGTCATATATTCTCCAGAAACCCAAGGGACCTCACTTCCTCTTGTTTGAAATGACCAACTTGATATTTGCCTAATCACAAGAAACAACCAGCCAAATACTAACCTCAACTTTTTGGTATGCATCTGTTGGCTCGTGCAGTGGCTTTCGTGTGTTAGATTGTTGCTTTGTCGCTGAAGTCAAACCCAACTTCTCCCTCTGTTCTGAGTGATTACCCTTCGTCTGGACAGCATCTGCCAAATCAAAGCAAGTACGCATACCAGACACATGGTCTTTCAGTCTTGAGTCAATAAGGATAGATAAGCAGCACAATGACATTCACAGCCAGAAACCACACGCTCTGAAAACTAAACTTGAACAGGGCATGAGAGAGAAACCTCTTGTAATTCGAGGGCCAGTAATTTGACGGTTTTTGTTCGGTTTCCAGTTCTTTTTAAACATGCCTCCAAGGCTTCCCAGAAGCTTCTCGCCCTAGAATGACCATAACAGGCGTTTATCGTTATGGGACCCCGCCATTTTAATAATCAAATGGAGAATGCGGTAAACTACAGAGTATTTACAGGCGTTGAATAAATGGTTCCTATGTTGGACTTGGCGTATAAAATATCAAGAGCCCAACTTGTTTTAGTTCGCAGGAGCCTTTCTAAGATCAACTGGTGTGTGATCTATTTATCTTATGAAATGAGCCTTACCCGGCTAAGATTGTGATCTATATCAACAGCAACCGCATGGCTCCTGGTGATCTGCTCACCCTGCTCATGCAACATGACCAGTGTCTTCGATGCGTCCTCTCTCATGTCCTCTGCGATCTTCAGGCAGCCATTAACACTCTTTGTAGTCTCCTCAGCCTTGTACACTGCATAGCCTTCAAGTTCTTGCACAGATTGGTTCTCCAAGCCCCCAGAGTCATGGAAATTATTCTTATACCTATTTCTCGTGGCATAGGTTAGCGAACTCGAATATGAGGAAGCAGACATTCCTTTTTGAGTGTGATCATTGTAGGAGTCAATGCTCGATTTTGGTAAACCTAATGTAGGCTCGGATGATGTCCTTCTTGCGTTGTTAAGATTTTGTTTATTATCTACCTCATCATCAGAACCAAAAGGATTGGAGCCTGAAGCAACGGGATGTCCATTATCAACAGAGTTATGCTTGGCCAGTTTCAATGGAGACTTCTTTGAACCAAACATTTTCTTCTATTATAAAAGTGAACGACTTTCACGCAGTAATCAACTGCGGAAACAGAAACTAAAGCGAAGCTTGCAGTGAACCTGTGACGGAAAAAAAAAAAAAAAGTCAGCCTGACGGAAACAAAAGACATAACACATAACCGAAGGACACAGATAAAAACATGGCTCTGAAAGACAATAAGACGACCTAAATTGCAAAATTGAACACGATGAAACCCCCGTAGACCACCTCGAGAAGATTTTGCAATCACCGTGAACCTAAATCAACATGATCATGAAGATCATCTGAAGGTTTATCCAGTTCCCTTTGACAAAAGGCGACAGTTGTGTGGGAAGGGAAGTTTCGAGAGATTTGAAAAGAAACACGTAAATAAATCTATAAGAATACTATTTGCACACTAAACTTGTAAAGATACTATGTACTTGGTTAGCTTTCCCAAATTAGTAGATGAAGAAATTAAGTCCAGTTTCGAATCCGCAAATCACCAGAAACTGAAGCAGAGCAGAAAAGTTCATATATCTGCCCAAGAAAGAGGCCAAATGACTTGGTTGGCTGAAGTTTTCAGATCATAAAAGCAACGCTACTGATTACGCAAACTGGGATTGGATTGCAGTGTCTTCTACAAACCATCAAATTCGACCAAGCCAACGACCCACCAACAAAGAAACGAATTCAAGATGACAAAACCGACGACCCAACAACAAATTTAAACAAACCCAACTCAGATTCCACTATGCTTCAACAAAAAGAAAAAGTAAACAAGCGAACTTGCAGCGAATGACCCAGTCAAAGTTCACCCAGATGGACGGCATTCGCGGAAAAATGAACATTCACGAGAGAAATACAAACTGGGTATACCTGAGAATGCCGGGAAAATCTTTGCCAGAACCCAGAGAGACACGCCAGGAGCTAAAATCTTCTCCAAGATTCTTTCTACAAACGACGCACTTGACGTTAAAGAGAGAGATGGGTACTTAAGGCAGGGCCAGTGGAAACGCGGGGGCCGGGCACGCGCATGAGTGGCGTTCGAGAAGGCGTTGAAAGTTCAAAGGGAGCGCACACGAAAGTGGCAGGCTTCAACAAATGGTGTTAAGAGGAGGAAAGAAATTCTTGGTTCCGGGCGTCGTGGTGGTTTTCACTGTCATTTGTCCTCGAACACCCGCTTGATACGAAAATTTAAAGGAGAAATTCGTCTCACGTGGTTGAGTTTTTCCTTGGTGTTCCTTTGAACGGATCAAACTTGGAGACTTTGAGCCTGTCCCCCTTCTTTGACGGCTCTGACTTTGGACCTCTTCTCTTCTCTCTCTCCCTCTCTCAACAAAACTTCCCCGAACTCTCATATAAGTTCGCATCTATACGCTCCCATTTGATTGTTCGGATTCAGATTGGGATACAATAGAATAAAGGAGATTTAAAATCCTCTCGATATTCTTCGAATTGTCAAACTATATCATTATGATGGGATTTTCAATCTTTGTGTAAACATAGGATTGAAACCTTGCACGACCATAGTCTCTAGACTCCATTTCACCGTCACTCGTCGGAATGATTGCCGGCCGGCGATGGCGACCAGCATGGTTGGAGGCGACGGCGATCGTCTAGTGACTAAAAGTGACCATGATCGGCAATCTGGGTGGTGGTCCTTGTGCTTTGGCCAGCGAAGTAATATCCAAATGTGTACTCCATCACTCCATCGTTACAAGACAACAAGAATTGTTAAGTTAATTTTTAAAATTTTATATTCAATCCGAGTTTATCCCATTCCTATGCCGAATAAGAAATCCGGCATTTTAAAATCTTTGTGCATGCACTCATTCCACTCTATCCGGGTTCATCCGGTCCAAAGAACGTCATCAGACATCGGATGGGATAACAAATTATCTTATCCGGACTCAAATCCAGACTGTCAAACACAACTTTAAGGAATAAGTACACTAGAAGTTCTAAAACTTATTATTACAAAAGCGCAATTAAATCTTAAAAGCTCTCAAAAAGTGTAATCAAGTCCTAATCTTGTCAGGTTTGTGCAATACAGTCATTCTATTAACTTCGTCCAACTTAACAAACGGAAAATGTTAACGTGGTATTTTTTTTATCACTTCCTCTCTCATACATCATATTTTTCATTATTTTCTTTTTCAAATTTTACTTAAATTAGATTAAATAATTTAAAAAGGAATAATTTTTTTTTTCTAAAAACCAAGTAAAAAAAAAAAGGAAACAAGCCCTCACCCTTGCCGGTGGCCACCGCCACAGCAGGCGGAGGTTGTTTTTTCATTTTTTTTTTCGGCAATTAAGGGCAAAAATAGTTTTCCTTAGAAATGAGATGAAAATATACTTTTATCCTTTAAAAATCACGGCATTTGCACATGCTAACCGGAAAAAATAATAGAGTGTCAAAAGTTGTAACGAAATGAATGTTCAGAAAGTTATTACGGAGCCATTGAAAAGCTCGGGGACAAGCTTATACCATCCCCAAAGTTCACAAGGATTATGTGTAATCAAACCGCATGTTTAAGTGTCTTATATGGTATTAATACTTCTTCAAATGATAACGCTTAGGCGCCATCCAAATTCATGTCCAAAGTGCATTCCAAGTTTGGTGGCTATTCACGACTTACTCAATTTTTTAAGCCTTTGGAACTAAAACAATTTGAGCTCTATAAGCTCACATTTCGATAAATATCATGTCTTTTGATGTGGATTCGAAGTTGAAAACCCAAAAATTTAAAAAAAATCTCATGAGGGAGGGTGAGAAAAATTTCGCTTCATATCAACTTAAAAAACTCAAACTGATGCGTCGTAAGTTCCTTCATGAGCCCTAGCGCTCATTGATTTGATCGATTCACCATGAACCATGGGTTTTATTTAGGACTCACTTGATCTAATGACTTGTGGAACCAAAGTTCGCAAGGACCCGCATCCACGGGAGTATTTTATGTTGTGCCGGGCAGGTACGGACCGAGTAAATAAGTAGAAAACATATCAGATATCTGTTTCCAGAAAGGCTAGAATAAGGGTTGATGCGTTTCATGATGTCGAAGGGACCATTTGTTTAGTTACAAGTCAATCCAACCATGAACCCTCCTACTAAGCCATGATAAAGAAAGGGCAACCCAACATTCAAGTTTGAAAGTGTCAATACGGATGAGACTTCCTACTCTTATGTCGCGTCAATTCGATAAACCACGAGGACATCTCGAATGAAATGGTCCAAGTAGGGTAAGAACATCTCTAACTTACTAAACTAATCATTGTCTATCAAGAGTGAAGTAAGAGAGGAGAGAACGCCCAGTCCTATCTCTGTGCTCATTGTGGGAGGATTCCGACAGCGTCTAGAATACTAAATTACGCTTGATTCTCATGTGTTCACCCTATTTCTTGATCTAAATTACTTAGATCTTTAACCTGTAGCAGCCACAACTAATCGTCCGAATTTCCGTAAGATCAAACCTGTGCTTGCGTGTCACTATAGACATATCTCCATCTGGTCCTCTCCAAAAGAACGCCACCTACTTGGCCAAGAACGACTTAATAATGGTGACCCAGCATCCCAGTGAAGGTTTAGTTTGTCCGAGTTAGGTTACCATCAATTGGAGTAGTTGTCACAATGTCCATTTTAAGCAACCTGCAGGCTAAACAGCTTTTGATTTCTATCAGAGGCACAAAGAAATCTTCCAAAAGAATACCTTGTAATTGAAGACCAGTCAAAGCATTGTCCCACTCATTGCAATCTCAAAGGCTTACACACATTTTGCACGAGTACAGAAAACATGGCGCTTTGTAGAAGCGCGCAAAATGACATGCAACACCCGAACCCGATGGTTCCCTTATGGTAAACCCCGACCTCTCATGCGCACCATTCACCCAGTAATTAAGACCATCGGGATTCAAACAAACTCTTCGACGCCGTAGTATGTAAACCTGACCTCTGAGAATTTGCTTGAATCATGACGGTCCTACTCACCAGACAATGATGCACATCGGGAGGTCACGGCTTACCATGAGAAAACCAATGCTCCAAAGATTACAAGCAAGTTCCTCCTGGTTGTAGCTTTCTTCTTCATCTCCACAGAGAAAACTCATGATCTGGACAGGCCACGTCATATAATACCTAAGAAAAATTTGTATCAGATTATGCACTAAACAATCACGAGTAACAATTTAATGATTGATTTTTGTCAACAAACATTCACAGACGAACCAAAAATGATGGGAGTATCCAGTTTCAATTGATCAAAGAAATGAGAGGCTACAATTTCATTGTTAACCACCTGGGTTTCACTTTGACTACTCTCGCATCGATTTGGGTCATAGACAAAGGCCACATTTGTATTTTAATTGATTAAAATGCACCCATTGTGACCCCCAAAACTTAGGAAAAGCATAAAACATATGCATTAAGCTTGAATAATATAAACCGCATCTCTTGGAGATACTGGTTCTCTAACAGTAATACAACACAAAGCAATAGCTATAGTACAATAGATTGGTTGCACTACACACAAATGCAGTACTTACACAAGACTAGAAACAAGGTCTGAGCAAGTTAGTTAGCTGAGCCAAAGATGAGCATGTGCATATTCTTGACAGTTGAGTCGGTAAGGAGAAAAGAGGAGGCATGCATCTTCTACAACAGTCACGAACTAAAATCATTGTAGAGAATCATTTAGGGTCTTTCAGAGGACAAACCTTTCTTTCAACTATTATCGTCAAGCAACTAGCTTCCATATTCCTGATTAGAGTCTTCTATTTACTGCTCACTGGATGTTGGAGATGCTCAAGGTAGTAGATGATCTTCCCTGTTCTTTTTGAACCTAGAAAATTTGAAATTAAACTCTTCATTCCATGTAAGTTGCCGGAGAAATTAAATATTAATAAAAACCAGCATCGGTACCTGTGCTTCTAACTCAGCTATCCTTTGAAGTGACGCTTGTTCGATACTAGCACGGCGCTTGCGTTCTTCTTCAAGTAAACCAGTAATTTGGTACCTTAGTTCGGCCATCTCTTGAGCCATGTCCTCTGCCTCATCCTTTGCCTTCAACTTTTCCTCCCTCAATTCTTCCTATCAACAAATGGCACATCAAGTTTCTACCTGAAAACTAAACAATTAATGAAGAGAATTTCTCTAAAACAATATTGACAATTAGGTCAATCGTCTTTTAGAGTGAAAATGTTTTGACAAGGATATGATGATTGATGACACAATGCTACAATTGCCTCTGAATGTTTTCTCGTGCATCTTAAGTTGTGGCCTCAATGTTCTCGACACATAAATTTTATGTGAGAGGAATTCAGGAACAACGTAAAACTTATGTCTGTGTTGATGCTCATACCTTAAGCCGCTTCACGAGAAGTTCATATTCAAGTATCTGGAGGGACATCTTCTTCATCTTTTCTTTTGTTACTGCATCTGGAGCATTTATTTCGGAGAGAAGTTGAACAAAGGTTTCCCTGCAATAAGTTTCAGAATTAACCCTATTTGAGTAATCTACTTTGACTTTTGACTTTTTGTAAATATCGCGGTGTTCACGCTTTGACATTTATTAAACAGGAAATACTTACCTTTTTCCTGACTGTATAATTTTTTCATAATTTTCGCGAACTTAAATTATTTTCCCAATTTTCATATGTTGCAGGAAAAATCATAAGTAAATGTGGAAGTATCGAGGAGTTGCACCAAAAACAAGTTGACGACATTGAGTGCCACCAACTTCAACAAATGAAAGCATGAAGCAAGAGAGAACACTTAAACAATATGACAATGCAATAAGGTTACCGAACCATCTCAGTAAGATGATGACGAGGTTCAGCAAACTCCGGTGACCATCTTCTTTTTTTTTTGGTCGAACTGGTGACCATCTTAACCACACAAAATTATGATTAAATGTGGCGGTATGTCAACATCACATCATATAAATTAATATATCGATACAATGAAAGTATGATGTTTAAAATGTTTGGTGACGGGTAATAAGTAAAAATTGACATACAATGGAGACCACCTTTGGAATACCCTACTTCCATTCAAAATGACTTGTTATTGCTTACATATGTCAAAATGCAGATCAAAGTGACTTCCAGAACGATGAAACAAAGGTTTCAACCAGAGAATAGAGCAAAAGCAGATATTAGAATGTAGAAGTTGTTATCCGCCACATACCCCATGTCCCTCTGAAAAGTGAGGTCACACCCATTTTCTCCCTTGAAGAAATGAAGTTTTGACCTTTTGTTGTCATCCAGCAGTTCTTCAAAATATTCTTCGATCTTTCGACAGAACTCTCGCACATTTGTTTCAGATAAATCAAGCTTCTCCCTCAATTCTTTATTTTCCTTTTCTAAACAATCCACAACTCCCTTTGCGCCCTTGAACTGAACCTCAACCTCTTCCATCAACCTGCTTATCCTTTCCTTTTCTTGTGTCACTTCATCCTGACCTTTCTTAGCTTCAAAATAGTTCTCCTCCAAGGCCATTAAATCAAGCTTCATACTCTCTATTTCACATTGTGACTCTAATCCTGCAGAAGAAATAGACTCCTCTAGCTTCTCAATGCATAAAGTGGATCTAATAAGTTCCACTTCTTTTGTCTCTAGTTCCTGTATCAAGAACTCCCTCACTGAATCAGACCTCCTCAGTTCTTCACTCAATATGCCAACCTTCTGTTCTAAGGTTTCCATGTCCTCTAATTTCAATTCTAGCATGAGCACCTGCTCTTCGAGCAATTTTACCTCAGCAGTCCTCATACCTATCTGATCCTGCAGATAGTCTGTGGTGATTATGTCAAATCTTATAATTCATTCATCAAACCTCAAGGAAATAGATAAATTAAACAATATCTAAGAGTGAGACAAAAATTATCACGTCGTGATCACAGTTAACTGGTCACATAAAGCAGTCAAGTTGCGTGATACCAAGGGGATCAAATAATAAAAGAACTTTCTCTGTATGTATATAATCCAACTGCAACTTGAATGGACCCCTGGACAAAGAACTTGCAAGCAATGGAACCAGACTTATTCTTCCAAAAACTGCAAAATCAACTTCAGCATGCAAAATAGCTTATTGTGACGAGTTTACGAAACGACTGACATATCACATGCATTAACAGAACAGCAAACCTCAAGGGGCCGATAATTTTTATAACTCAAGGTATGTGGAGATGTTAGCTTGTACCCAATTATAGACAGCACATGCATAAAAGGCGTCATATGGTACTGGACACAAACAAAGGACAAGCCTCACAAACAAGGATAAGCGAGGACAATGACAATGGGACGTCGAAAAAGAAATTCGATAAGAATCATTACCAATCTCTTGAGAGCAGTTCATCAACTCTTTTTCCAACTGTCGGATGTACTTCTCATCTTTTGCACGAGCATCAGACAAGGAATTTACGTGATGTTCTAGTTTCTGCAAGAACAACCACCTTAAATTGTATAACGATCTTAACATTTGACTTAACCAAGAAGAATCATATCTTTTAACCAGTAAAATCGGTGCCATATACTACCTTGATTAGTTCAAAGCTTCGAGATTGTGATTCTCTTAACATATCCCTTTCTTTTCCAAGCTGCATGGAGATTGACGATGACTTCAGTAGTCAACAACAAAATAATCAACTCCATCGATTATCTGATTACTTGAAAACTATCATTTCAAGGACAGTTCAACTCTCCTGAGCATTTAGCCAAATAGCAGTTCTTAAGAAATAATTATGTTGCTTATGCATACAAAGCACCTCAGTGAATAACCACACACACCCTACAAATGCATGACATTAATCTCGACTTAAAATTTTCCGAAATAAAAGCATGTTTTCATATAAGCTAAAAAAGAGTATTTGAAAATCCAAAGGGACGGCAATAACCTCTCTACATCTTGTGCCAATTTCTAGGAGTTCCCCAGCATCAAAAGAATTATCACTCTCGCTCATGGTTCCACCTGACATTTATGTCTGAAATGCCAATAAGGACCTGCAAGGAAAATTTGGTGAATTGATTCAAGTCATTTTAAAACTTTGATCTCGTGAAAGAACAATTTGACAAAAATAAGGGACTTGGCATAAAACATGAGTGGCATGTGCTCTGATGTTCAAAGAATTCTATAAAATGTTGCAGAGCAGAAAGAAAATGCTGAATGCTGAGAATTGATGATGTTCTATGTGATGCTTTCCAGTTTCGAGCTTCACATTGATACAACCAATACGGAAGTTTCTTTCCCCTAAAAACCTCGCACAAAAAGTTACACGGGTGTGCCGCTGCTACCATGGCACTTAAAGTTACCAATATACTTTTGCTTCACCCAGGTACCTTGAACCTGCACTTGCTTCATCCAAACTTCTCAAACTTCTGCCCCTAATAATAATCGGTTTTCTCTTAAGTAAACTATTATACAGCATGAACTCATGGAAGCAAGTATCCGTGGGGCACAGATTCTAAATTCACCACAATATTTCCAATCTGCACTTTTATTTACTTCCTTATTCCACAGAAAATTTGACAGTGCCCCCAGACATATAACTTCATGCGAAGAAATCCTATATCCATCGAAAGAGACTTTACCTCTCCATATCTCCATATCGACTCTGGTAAATTTAAAAAAAGAAAGGGGTCATGTTTCCCTCCAACCACCCTTATGACCCGTGGGTTACAACCGTGGACAACTCATGACTCGCCAATCAGAAGATAGATTGAAGGAACATATAGCATCATTTATAAGCAGTCCCCAAAAAGCATGTCGATTAATCTCCAACTTCCACAGAATGAGGTAAAAAAAAAAGGTACTTTTCTATGCAGCATGACCACCTGTGCTGAACCGAATGCATTTCTCGCGTTTCGCGTTCAGAGAAACTGAAGGGAGGGACCTTTTGCACTAAAACTAACGAAAAGACGATACCCTCGTCAGGAAACACACACCCCCATTGCAAGAACAGACAAATACCCAGAAATCGTTAAGCTCTTTCCCAAACGAAGTCGCCCGAATCCCGCAAAGAAAACCCGCACCCAAATCGTTCTTGACGCCCGTAGCAACGCCGCCTTATTCATTTTCCCCACGAATTCCTACACAGAGAGAGAGAGAGAGAGAGAGAGAGAGAGAGACCTTGAAAGGGTTTCTTCAGGATGGAAACGTCGACCGGACCCTGTCAATCGAAGGCTTGATGATCAAGGAGGGATGCGACAGGAGAGAGAGGCAGAGAGACAGAGAGAGAGAGAGCGCGCGCTTGCTTTGAAATCGAAAGGCGAATCGCTCCGAACCGATGAAGAAGACTCCTTGCGATTTCAGACAGTCTTGCCTGACGATGCGACAGCTTTCGCCTTTCTTTCTATGTTTTGGTCGCCAGCTCAGCCTCCGCTGCGTTTTCAAGCTGGCGGAAAACTTGGGCTCGGGACGGGCCGAAGTAACACCTACCAGCGCGTGCATTTGGGCCGGCCGCTGATTAACGGGCCCATAGTTCGGCCACCCGGGCCCATGCTCGGCCCAATTTTGTTAGGAAAAATAACACAAATGGTCTCCGAACTTTGGCCCAATGTATAATATGATTCCTGAACTTTTAATCTGTTCAATGCAGTCCCTAAATTTTAACCCAATGTGCAATATCGTCCCTGAACTTTTAAATTGTTCACTGTGGTTCTTGGACTTCTGATATATGTTCAATTTAATCCCTGGATTATATGGAAAATGTTCAATGTTGTCCTTAAACTTGAATTAATGGAATGACAACATTGAACAGTTCCATATAGTTTGGGAACTAAATTGAACATGTACCAAAATTATAGGGACCACATTGAACAATTTAAATATTTAAGGACGACATTGCACATTGGGCTAAAGTTTATGGACCACATTGAACATATTAAAAGTTCGTGGATCATTTATGTCATTATATCACTTTGTTAAGCCATTATAATCTTGACTTACCGAGTAATGTTTTCTTTACCTTCGAAGATTAATGACATGTTACTTGAAATGAAACTTGCCGATATTTGAAAGAATTAATTTGTTGTTTTATTGTGATTTCTATTTTTTTTTGGGTTTGGTATCGCGTTTCATCGACATCAATTATCATCACATGATGATGATCAACCTCGCACCTCGAAAAATCACGTTTTTATTGACGCCTGGCGTGATCGAATTGGAGCGAAAGCAAAATCGTTGCCCACTTTTGTAACTTTGATCATTCAAAAGATTGCCGACGAATTAATTAGCACGACTCTCGTAATCAATAAAAGACGAGCAAACATAGCTCCTTTTCATCAGGTCATGATCAGTTGAGTCCGTTTTTCCTCTGTAGGTGAAGGCAAACCGCACTGTAAAGCATACCATATACTTCGTATACATTCACGGGTGCGCACGCGTGCACGCTTTATAGACCAAGTCCAAGTGCACACCCTCTCTAAGATAAAGCATGTGTTGACATGGCTTAGTATATATATTCTAAACTCCATAATTAAATGAATAGGAAGTGAGATGGGCTGTCATGTTTTGATGGTAGGTGACAGAGCAACCACCTTGAGCTCACCTGACATGGTTCTTGGTCCTTCTTCCCCCCAGTTACAATATTGGCTTTTTGCATCTCATGACTCAACCTCAACAATTTCAGCACCTCATTCATGTCTATTTGATGCCAAGAAAGAATAATCGCTTTAAGCAATCAATGATATGCTCTGCTGTTAATTAATAGTCAATTAATCTTAGTCCAACTGCACTAAAACAATTAGAGAATTCACTCAATACATTTCAGTAGCGTCACTGATTTACCTTGCTCACTTCACAAGCTCTGAAACGTTAGTGGAAGAGAGTTCACAGAAACTTCTTAGAAGTTGACAGAAACTTAAAAATATTATCAACCTTGAGGGTGGCCTAGTTTGAGGGCCAGTGAATTAGTATCAAAATCTGAAGGGAAAACTTTAGAATCTGTAAGGAGGAGGAAAGGAAAAAATCAATGAAATGATGTCCAGAGAATCTGTGATTTCTTGGATCTTCAGCTCCGAAAAAAATGAAAAGAAAAGAAAACAGAAACAAAGAAGTCTTGGATCTTCAAAACCATACCAGACCAGTGTGAGTGAGCTCAGTTAGAGACGAGACCAATCAGGGCTTCAGGGTTGCAGTTTCTCTCCAACCACCATGGAGTGAAGTCAACATGTCCTCTCTCTTCTTCATCAAGAGGAGCAGGAAGATTGAGATCCAAGAATTCCCGAATCTTTGGGATTGGATTCCGAATGCTGGAGATGGGTTCTTCCTTTCTTGTCCTGGGTTCGCGTAGTAAGTGAGATCTTTTGTGACCACCCAAAGCTTGCCCTGATAGAAAGACCTTAAAGCAAATTGGGCACTCATGCTCCTTACTCTTGATCTTCAAGTCATTTCTGAACACGACTGCCTTGTCGAGATTGGAAGTGCTCTCGGGTTTGCGCAATTTCAAGGGCTTCATATCCACTGTTTGATCAGGAGAGATCGTGGTTTCGATGCTATTGTCATTGCTCTCGATTTCTGACGCGAGGGAAGGCATTGCTTTCTTGTGACTAGCTCTATGACCACCTAGAGCTTGGTAAGAGTGAAATGTCTTGTTGCAACTAGTACACTGGAATCTGCTTCTCTTGACAGGACTATGCAAAATTTCGGAGTTTGAAATATCGGCATCCCATTTTTTCAGGAGATTTACTTTCAATTCTGGATCATATGAACTGATCAACTTCCTCTTGCTTGAATCAGTCTTGCCTAACTGATGACCGGCATGATCGGCCACAGCTTCCTCAATCCGATTCTTCCCTGAAATAATCTTTGAAAACTCCGATTGGGATGGGACTTCTTTCTTGAACTGCTTGCTGTCAGCCAACAGATTCATCTTGTCCCAATGCCCTGAATTTGCCAGATCACAAAAAAAATCGGCAATTCTACTATCAACTTGGGAATCATCAAATTCTGAAGTTCGTGTCTCTAAATTATTCTTTTCCTCGAGATCCTTCATTTTCATCTTCGCTTCCTTTTCGCATCCCCACAGAGAACTACTGATTTTCACATCCCTAGAGAGCATAATCAAGCACATGGCCACTTCCTCTTGCTCTTGCTGATCAATCTCAGAAGCAGAAGAGGAAGCAGTTGCAAACGACAAAGAAGAAGAATTAGTTGCAGCTGCACTTGCCACGAGTCTTTTTCTTCTTTCTGATCTCCTTCTCCTATTGAGAATCGTCGCTTCTTTGCCTTTGGATTGGCCATCTCTCGAAAGCTGCTTCTGGTCATAACCGTCTTGGCCTCCCAAGCTACCAGAAACTTTTTCTTTCTCTGAGTGGCGTTTCATGTGGCCGAACAAAGCCTTCCACGACTGGAACCCTTTGCCACATTCTCTGCAAAACCTCTCTTGGACCGAAACTGAAACAGAAGTCTCCTCACAAAAGTCTGCTCCTTTCCATGTCTTCTTTGGATTTTCCCTGAGCCCATAACCGGTATTCATCGACAAGAGCTTGCTTGTGTTGAGATTGAGATTCTCATCAGTCTCAACTAGTTCATTGTCGATCAGATGAGACCTCATGTGGCCCCCCAAGGATCTGCCACAGAGGAAGTTCTTGCTACATATCTTGCACACATGCTGTAATTCTTGATCTTCTTCCATTTTTTTTCTCTCACAAACCCAAATGAAATAAAGCACAGCAAGAACCAAACCAAGCTCAAATCTGAACACAGGATTTATTCTGATGATGCTCTATGCTGATGCAATTGCTCAAGAGCAAGAGTGAAGAAACAGAGCAACCCACCAAGCAAAGCAGAAAACCCAGACCAAGAATTTAAGAAAGGAGACAAAATCCGATCAAGATTTTGTCCCTTGAACTGCAAAAGTAGCACCCACCTCAGTAAGAAGAAGATCTGATCACCAAACTATGTAGGACCCAGTTATCAATATGAAGAACTCTGCTTTTCTGCCAAGTAGCTGCTTCTTGGGTTAGTTGAAATATCAAGAAAAGCGATGCATTGAGCAAACGAATGAATCTTTTGGGCACTTTGCTTGCTAATGATGGCGAACAAGCCAATGAAGAAATTTGGAAGCGAAGAGTGTTGGTTTAGTGTGAGAGTGCTCCGTCTCTCTCTCTCTCTCTCTCTCTCCCCAACTAAAGTGAGAGCACTGACTATTTTAAGACCGGGGAGGAGAAATCCATGCATGGAAGCAAAGATAAAGACGAGGAAAAGGGAGGATGGGGACACGTGTACCCAACTGAGACTCCCGCGCCAGCTTGGATCCGACGGCTGCGATTGGTCCACGGGACATCCCAATTTGCTGCAAAAGCTATGTCTGTCCCCAACTATTCTTTCCTTTGTCTTGCTACACACAACACTCAACACTAGTAAAAAAGCTTCCCACTCTCTCTCTCTCTCTCCGGCCGTTATTCTTGTTAGGATAGTCTTTTAGACCATTTGCTCAACTTGGCCAAGGAAATAGGATGTTTGATAAATTCTCCCAAGAGCTTGTCGGTCCAATGTGTTTAAGGAATGATCGGATGTGGTTCGATCGAGTGACTCCACTTATATTCAGGGGTTAATGATACAAATTATCCCTGAACTTTGGCTTAATGTATAATCTGGTCCTTGAACTTTAAATTTGTTCAAAGTAATTCCTAAACTTTGGCCTAATATGAATTGTCGTTCTCGAACTTTTAATTTGTTCAATATGATCTCTGGACTTTTTGTCATATTCAATATAATCCTTGGACTGTATGAAAATGTTCAATGTAGTCCTCCCATTAATTTAAGTTCAGGGACAATATTGAAAATTTTCATATAGTTTGGGGACTAAATTGAACATGTGCAAAAAATTCATGAACTATATTGAACAAATTAAAAGTCAAGGGATGATAATGCATATTGGGCTAAAGTTCATGCACCACATTGAACACATTTAAAGTTCAGGAGTCGCATTGTACATCGGATCAAAGTTCAGTGACAATTTGTGTCATTATCCCTATATCCAGTAATGAAATTATAGAAAATCTTAAAGTGCATTATGGGTGCTTTAGCGTGAACAGAAGCAAATTTTTCGAAAGGGAAATATTTGGAAGGAATTATACTTATATTTGGGATTGGCCACTGAATTGTTGATTGGGAGATCCGAGAAGGTTGTGTGCTTTACTTCAGATGCAACTTGTGGGTGGAATTTGATTTTTTTGAGCACAGGAAAAGACTAGGAGACCCAACAATGGGTACAGTACAAGCTTATACAGACAAAAGCATTGCTGAAGAGAGTTTGAAAAAGTGATAAACAGAATATTTATTCACTTGCTAAGCATCTTCTTCACCAAATCTTATGCTGCACCATGTATAGTAAAGATCAAAGCAGTGAGAAGCCAAGCTTTTCGGATGCCGTAGTGGAGTATTGCAATGTCGCTTTCTTCTAATCAACAAGGCTAACTAGAGAGCTCACAATCGATGACTGTGCCGGCCAGGCTCAGCCGGCTTCTGTTGGATAAACCTCGGCATGATTGTCTCGTTAGAAGATGATAATCACAAACTTCCGGCGAAATGGATCCAGCTTTCTTGTGCCCCCTTTTTGGCCGGCGCTTAGTAAACTGTTTGGCTGTCATCGGATTGCATACCCTTAATTTAATCCGTTTGTTTGTTTATGTGATGGCTAAGAAAATTAGTCAATTCATCTTGCTTCTTGTTTTGGCTTTCAATAATATTGTGCTAAACAAGATTCTTGTTTCCAAATTTAGTTTGTGATGCACAAAATAACTCCATGTAAACAGACATTGGTCACATCTCGTTAGCTCTCATCTACTTTTCTGATAGTTTAAAAAGGAATAACTTGACAAGGAGTTGGTGCATTGTACAGGTTGTGGTTTGGACAGTGAAGATTTGGAAAAGAATCATGCAGTACAAGAACCAAAACTCATGGGTCAACCCTTATATATTACAATTTAAAAAGGTAATACCATTTGCGCGATTATCTTACCCGATCCAAATTCACTGCAAAGTGGCTGCAGAGAATGGTGATCCGACTTCTATTCCAATGAACTAAATATCATGTGTGGGTTCAGTGGAAATTGCTTTGAAGCGATGGCAATCCTCAAGAAACTTGCAAAGGATCTGGTGCGTGAGGTTCAGAAGAGTTGCCCAACTATTCCCCCTTTTGCCACTTTATATCATGAATCAATTGGAGATCTAAGCTCATCATTCTTGATACCACCACCTATACTAGCGAAGAAGGTAACGATTACAATGTGCTATGAATTTCACTTTTTGACAAAAAAATCTCATCAAAAGAGGAAATTTTGGAGAGTCAACCCCATGAATGTTCCCCAAAGTTCCTTGCCTTGTAATATGAGCTGGATCTTGTCATGTCGTCATAGATACCAGCATTGGCCATTTTCTCTTTCTTTAGTTTAATATAGTACGTACTTGCTATACTAAATTACTAAATTGGGAAAATAGATAATCAGATTTTCTATTCACCATGGAAGAAACAGATTGTTGCATATATATACAACTACGCATTGGTGTGGTATACTGACATGTACCACTTATTCATTGCTTGAAGAAACTTCACTTGAGGTTTAAGAGTTGGTACTCCAAAAAAGTGATTCAAGACAAGTACCAGACATTTCCCAGAAATCCTTGGACCACACCCTTGTGTTCAGCCATAACTTGCAAAGTGAAACTGAGAGGCTGAGATACAAGATGCCTAACTTTTGACTTTATTTTGGGTCTGGCTCTTCCTCCTACATAACTATTTATTTAAGATAATTAATATGGCCATGTGGGTTTGCTTCACTGCATCAATTAGCAAACCTCTTTGTCATGTTAAGTTTCATATTGCTTGACGAGAATTCATTCTTTCTTAATTTCTCAGTGACAATAAAGCCGACAGGCTGCGAGTGATTAAAAAATAAATGCAGAATGATGGGCTTTTGCATCAACAATAAGCATGTTAAAGGTGTAATTACGATTACAGCCTACAGTTTTTGACAATTGGGATATTCTTACTCAACTTCTTTCGGCAGCAAGCTAAAGGGTCAATGACCAGTTTAACTTTATCATAATGAGAGGATATCGCAGTAGACCCCTCAGTTATATCATCATTAAAAATGAGCTAAGCTAACTGCAATATGTCGTCACTTTAATTATGCAACACGGATGCTCTGTCAACTTCTAATTTTTTCACTCAAGCATCTCCCATGCTAAAAGTGCGCTGCATACTCCATACAAACGCATCTAGAACATTTACAATGTCTCGGTAAGAATTTTGAAGTTACAATTTGCCTGAGATTTTGATTGTTTCACTTCTCAGTTCGCGTGCAAAAAAAAAAAAAAAATAGCAGATGGGTATTGATTGCTGTAACTCACATACATGTCCAACTTGCTTTTTATGAACTTGGGAGGAACAGAGAAGTGAAGTAGAGGTGAGCATGTGTCCCCATCATGTGGATAACAATGATGCTGCATGTGTCAGCAGTAGTTCTTACTAGCAACTCTTGGACTGTACTCAAAAGAGAGTCAAATGGATTCGGAAAAGGAGGACTATAATAAACTGTGTGTGTGTGTGTGTGTGTGTGTGAGAGAGAGAGAGAGAGAGAGAGAGAGAGAGAAATACTTGCTCCTAGTGTCAATCTTTTCTTTATTCTTTCCTTTTGGTTCTCTAAGCAATAGATATTTTGCATGGTAGCACCTCCTAAAAACAAAGTGCAATGACTGATGTAAACTTCGACGACCAATTCACATAAAAGACATGATAGGTTTCCAACCCACCCGACCATAAACACATAAAGCCACACAAAGGAATTCCATATTGCATCTCACTAGTTAGCTGAGGCAAGAGGCACAACGGCATAAATATCCATTTTTGCCATTTCTACTTTGGCAGTGTTGTGTTCTTTCTGAATTTTTTTTTCCCATTGCTGTGGATCGAAATCGAAACCCCTACAACTAGTGGCCAAACTCCTACCCGGCTACGACCACAAGGCACGGGATGAGGCAGAAAATGCAAGACCTTGGAAATAAGTTGATCGAGCATGTGATCCTCCGGATCCGAGGACTGACAAACACTACTTTCAGCACCATAAAATCTAACAACGTCGATATATAAACCGAAGTATTGCTAACTTCCCTGCTTTATGGATTTGGTAGAAATTGGCTGAAGTTCCCAAGCAGAAGTTGTTTCTTGCTCCTTTCAAACTGAAGAGCAAGGCTAAATTAAGTTGTGACAAAAAAAAACATATTCTAATCACAGGTGCACTGAGCATTAGCAAGACGCTAGCCCACGAGACAAGTGAACTAATCAAGGTGACTACTTGACAAAGGACATCACAATCGATTACCTGTTCTCATCTCTAAAAGGTCTCAGCTTCTTGGTCATTTCGAGGTCAGGACGTTGACATCTAACGACAAGGCACAACTGCCACCAAAACCAACTCGGATTCCCCATAAGTGGAGATAGTCTATACATTTCACAATGCACAATTATTTCTCGATATAGGATCACTTGATCTAGCGGAAGAATATTCAATAATGACTTCCTTCAAGACAGTACTTGGGCTAGTGGCTGTTGCTTCTTTTCCTTGCCTCTTCTATAAATATCATTAGCAAAGATGCATAGAACAATGGGGAGGAAACTATCCCGAAAGGCAAAAATAACGAGCCCCAAAAGATCAGGGCATCCAATTACAAAAAATATACTCCAACAATTCAAACAGGAGATTGTGTCCGAAAAGCTGCCTGAGCAGATGCAATATCTTTCGCACTTCGCATGACTATCATAATTTATGAGGAAAAAAGAGACTTCTACAGCATTTTTCTATCGAGAAGCAACAGAAAGTTACACTGTCGAATATATTGGTACACTCGTGCCTTCACCCTACAATCTTCCCTTAACCATTTCCTCCCCAACGAGAACTCAGAACAAACAATCTTATTCCCTCGAAAAGGTGTACAAGGGGGATCTTAAAACTAAAAAGAGTACCAACTGTTGAGGCTGCCTCAACACTGAAAAATTAATAACCTTCTAAAACGGTAATGAAGTTTTACAGGAAAAAGGCAAGACTTCCATCTTCCACTCCAACCACATTTACAAAGGAAAACCGGAAGCATCTCTTTGTTGATACTCTTTTCTAAATAGAGCATCTCACTTTCCATTTTAAAGTCTTTCAGGCAAATTTTGCCCAACTTGACCGGTCTCTATCTTCACACAACTGCATCTTTGGTAGAATGACTAATGCCACTAGCCAAGATCCTTCCTATCCGGCTTGCAGTTTGAAGAATCGTGTCCAAAAACCTCTTCAATCATACTGAATGTGGGCAAAAAGTCAACTTCCCTTTTTGGACAAGCCATACACCCAGCACTCCACACTTTCCCACTACAAAGCTCTGTCTCATTATCGTGGCTTCTGTCGCCATTCAACCTGTCAAAGAAAACATTCCGGCAACCGTCGTAGCCCTTCCCATGGGTCCCCTGCGAAACAGCTACTGTGTCAGAAGATGTACACGAATCATCCTGTGCACCTTGATCTACCCTGTCATCCCAAGTTTTCTCCTCCAACTGAAATGTAGGGTTTTCCTGGTAATTAATCTTTCCAGGCCATCCTTCTGGTACATCAACCATCGCCTTGTGACTTTTGAAACTCGCATTTCTGTCATCGTCACAAGGTTCATCTGCAACATCATCATCATCATCATCCTCATCATATTCACTGACATGATCTCTGTCAGCAGGATCAACCCCATGTACAGGGGATTCAACAACAGAATCATCCTCCTCTTCATTCGCCAGCCATTCATCATTATCACTGTCTATGTTCATTGGATCACACCTGTTTTGCTCAGCCCTCTTCCGGAGCATAAATACATTAAAGTAATAACTCACTATTTCCCCTTTCATACGTGAAGGGAAGGCAGCAGAAAGATTATTCCAGAAATTCTTGCCAATCGAAGCTGGATTAGAAAAAACAATCTCATGAAATATCTTCTCTTCTTCATCAGTCCATTTCTCAGCAACATGCTCTCCCATGTCAAAGAAACCCAACTCTGCAAAAGTCTCAGGCCCAAGGACTCTTTTAAGTTTATCTCTTGCTTCCACAACATGCTTTTGGACACATCCAAAGGAACCCCTATCCCCACAACAACAGTTTGTTCTACCATTCCCAATTTTGTCATCACTGTTACCAAATTGTTCACAATTGGGCATTGGAATGACACAGATCCCACCTGGATGTCCTTCATCTTTGTCTCCGGTCACTTGCTTAAGCTGTTGTCTGTCAGAATTAGGATTTGCTTCAATTGATGCTGAATAACTTGAGACATCTTCAAAAGCCTGCTCTCTCAATGCTGGAATGTCAGCTTGATGATCTGGTCCAATGGGAATTGGTTTTTGTGGGGGGTTTTCTAAAAGTAAAGAATAGATGTCCTCATATCGCGGCAAAGTCCTCACTGGACGCTGAGGATAAAAATAATCTGGAAAAAAAGATCCATGGAAGGGTGCCTCTGACCAGATATCTTCTTCACTGGTACTACTGGTGCCCCACGAAGAGACAGAATAGCATCCAGGAAGACTGCAATCTGCTTCCTCCTCATTGCTTATAGGAGGTTTTGTCTCTTTCTCCCCACCAAGCTCCTGTTCAACTTTGTTTACTGCGAAGCCTGCCTCACCTTCACCAATCATAGATCGAAAACAGGGTGAGGATAAAGGAAATGGAAATTGTTAATTCACTTTCTAATTGGTTTCTGTCATTCCACAACCAATGTGATTCGAGGAAAATGAGTGACAAGGCTGCATGGGGCTTCAAAGGCTCAACATGTACTACTTTTGTAGTTCCAAATGATTCATTCACATTGAAGTACGTCATAACTTTGCTTCTAAGACATGATAGAAATGCACCATAAGTTGCCTGCTCATTTGTGATTGACTTCTCTCAGACTACCTATATCTACATATACTTCACAAAATGCTAACATAAAGGGGGAAGCATTGACTCCATGTTGCAGCTCATGCATGAATGTGGTAAAAGAGAGTATCCTCTCTAACCTGATCCATCAGGTACTTTAGGAGTGTCTCCAAAGGAACCAAACTCAGAAAACAAAGCTGGCCGATCACAGTGTTCTTGTCTTGGAAGCTTCGAAGTTACTTCATGCTGTCCCTCACCATCAAAAGGCCGTTTATGTACCATGTTTTAACTGCAGTAAACATTTTAAAAATATTCAGAAACCATTATCATAAAAGGCCTCATCCTAGCGAAGATTATAACCTCGTACTATATACAACACACCATATGTCTAAACCCACACATGCAAAGTGTTCTTATTGGCTTTTAGTCAAGGCAAAGATCGCATTGGAGGCTTCCAATGCGTGTTCAGAGCCAACAAATTCTAAATCAGAGGACAAAGCAAGTATGCGAAACATATAAAACAACAGAAAAGGCATTATGCAACATGGCCAAGAAAAAACCAATTTACTAACTTTTCAAAAAATCAGCATATTCTCATCTACTCCAACAATTAATCCCCCACATCACTGATATTGTCCAATATGCAGCACCCCGTATAAGGATGTTAACTGCCATATACGCAATGCACATGGAGGACAAGCGCTAATCCAAGAAACATACATTTTTCTCCGAATTCTAGTCGCATTTAGCTTCCTAGCCCGTAGCTGAACTTCATGATTTATTAACATCAACTTAAAACAGACTCCATGCACGGCGACTCGGTAAATTCAGGGCAACAGAAAATACTAATGCTTCAAGTCAAATGAAGATACTTTTAAATTAATCTTACACATAAGGGAGCACAACAATTTCTCCGCCCATTAAAAAAACATAACAGAGCATACAAAAAAAAATACGTAAATTATACGCGGACAGAATTAACCGAATTACCTACGAGATACGCTTTTCATACTTAAAAAAAAGCAGCCTCCTTTACCTCGAAAATACGTCCTCTTCAGGCACGAAAGCAGATCGCGAAACGGCGAACCGAACCCACCAAAAATTCGTCGGGGCACCGAAAAATTTGTCGGGGCACCGAAGCTTTCCCCCCAAATCGGTCTGGGCCCGGAAGCCGGAAAATCCCCCAATCTCCACCGAGACCTAACCCTAGATCTTCAAATTCCCCCACCAAACCGCCGGAACGAGGGATCGACACAGCCGTCCGACAATCGCACCCCAAAAACTCGGCCGATCTAGCGATCGGACCAAAAAGTACCCCCGAATCGGAAAACCTACAGAGTCACAGAAGCCAAATCCAAAGAATCGAAGAAGATTATCGTAAAAGGGGGGGGGGGGGAGATTCCCAGATCCGCGACGCTTCCGGCGACGGATCGGAAGAGCGAAACCCTAGAATCGAGATCCGGGCACGGATCGGGCCGAAAAGGGTATGAATCGATAGAGGAAAGCGAGGATAGATTGAACGGGGGGATCGATTAAGAGCTCATGGAGGATTTCGACGACGAATCGAGAAAGAAATGATCGGGGATCGAAGCACGAGGGGGGGAGGGATAATTTTTATTTTTATTTTTTTATTTTTTTAATTTACCGACGGAAAAGCAAAAGGCTAGGGTTCGCCTGTTTTGTAGATAAAATGGGCCGGGAATAGCGAAGACGAGGCGGCGGAAAAAGAGGAGGGGGCGGGGGGAGGGGCCATTGTGCAAATAGGACGAAGTGTGGGGACCCCCGGGGGGGAGGCGGGAGAAGCAGCCGGGACACGTGGCGGGATCCGGTTGGGCGCGGGGAGGGGCGGAAACAGGGAGAGGGGGGGCGCGAGTTGCAAATGTTTTTAATTTGCTTTTTTTTTTCTTTTTTTTTCGAATTTCTCTGTAGAAAAATGGGGAAAAAAATATACGGACGGAAAGTATCCGCCTGTTTTTGTTGGAAGACTATTTTGGCTCCGGCATCTTTTAGTTATGAAAGAAATTAGAAAAAAAAAATGCACATTTATGTAGCAATGAAAGGCTTAGCAAGCGGGGAAAATTTCACCAAAAAACCCGAAATTACGCCTATATATATATGCACTGATACCCCAAATTGTTTTTTGTCACTAAAATCCCGAATTTGTACAAATGTAATAAAAAAAGTCCAAATTATTAGTATTACAGTGGGTATAGTTATATTTACGACAAAAAACATAATTTGATGTATTAGTGTAGCAGTGAACATAATTTAAGATTTTTTTAGACAAAATAAAAAAAAATTGAAATATTAGTGTCGCAGTGAATATAGTTTAGAATTTTTTATGAAATCATCCCTGAAAGTACTTCCTCTCACTGTTATTAAAGCATTATTGTTCAGGACGCGGTATTTAGAAATTGAGTATATGTCCATATGCTCAAAAGCGGGGGAGAATTTGCGGCGTAATCGCAAAATGGTTATTATTCGGCGACATACAAGAACATGAGAGACACTCCAAAAAAAAATTTGGTCACATCGACATAGATAATAACATGCACGTACCAAAGCGGGCGAACACATGGTAACTCGACATTTCGATTTGAATTATCGACATGTATCTTAGATCTAACCGTGAATATAATAGAAGTCAATAAAGTAGAGTTATCGAAGAACTTACCTCCACAAATTCTAATAGCGTGGGCAAAAAGATGACCATATCGTCCATGTCACTACAAGAAGAGACGAGAGAAGATCATGTTCAACGAAGGAAACAATGCAGTGTAACATCGAGCGCATAAGCAAATACGACACTTCCCAAGACCTTCCCAAGACCGCATCCCATTGGCATATATAATGCCAAGCAAAACGCCTCCCCCTCGCTCATGGAGGTCAGGGCAGAAGAAGAATGTCGACCGGCGACTTCGCCGGTCCGCTCCGCTACACGCACTTCCAGAAAATGAATCCAATCTGGAGGGCGAGCCCTGGAAATGGTGGCAACGGGAGCACCCTCTACGATTCATACGAGCTCCACGCTGTGACGCGCCAGCTCAACAAGGCGATCCAAGGTCCGCACGCGTCCTCCCCGCCCTATGTGCATCACCTGAAATCATCCCCGGTCTACCGCCGACACTTGAAAAGCATGCATAAAGAGAGCACAAAATCTCCCAGAAGGATCGCACCTTCGCAGTTCGGCGGCCGTCCCACCAAACTTGAGCAGAAGCCGAGAGCAGATGGTGGCAGAGGGCTTATGACAAGGCTGTGGAAGAAGATAAGACAAGGGTGGTTGAACAACAGGCATGGAACTGGGAGTACCAAAACTGCTCCCGATCTTCCCAATTGAAGAGCGCAAAACCGTATCTGTACAGAATAATGAAAGGTTAACGGTAATCAGCGCTGTCTTACCTCCAACTCCGATATCCTCCGAAATAGAGACAACAGCACCTTACTGTGAGCAACAGCGGTCCAGGAATGTAAAAGTTTTAACTTTCTCCATCCTTCTGTAATGGAACGCTTTCTTTAGCCATGCCATGCCATGCCATGCCAAAACTTTTAATCCTGGAGAGAGAGGGGGGGGCGGGGGGTGGGGGGAGGGGGAGAGGAGAGGGAGAGAGACAGGTAACTGAACCAAAATATGTAGCACCTCTCATTTCTCATCAAAAAGCAAAATTTTCTGGTAATTAATGCAATTCTATACAAGTTTTCTTTGCAGAAGGCACTGGGCTCAGACTGAGAAAATATTCTTCAAGGCAGCTGCGCAAACTTGCAATGCATAAACATCTTTTATTGCTGTCAAATGCAGGTCTCTTAGGATAGCCGGAGTGCCATTTCTTGGAGAAGAGCACGTTTTTGCAATGCATTGATTACATGGTTTGTTTCAGCATTCTCAAGCACATCGGTTATAATCGCAGCAGCATGACCCAGAGATTCCTCGACTGCTTTCTTCAACATGAATGCCTAAGCAAGCAAGATAAATTAGCAGAACTACCGGGAAAAAAATACATAAGATGAAAATCACACTCCAATCAACATTTTATAGGTTCTACATCCCCCCCCCCCCCCCCCCCCCCAACACACACACACATCACAACCAGACCTCTATCTGAGTGCCTGGAGCTGACAGGAAGCATTCAAAAACAGGCGTAGTGGTATCAATAAGGTCTCAAAAAGGACGACATGTCCTCTTAAACAATCCTGAACTTTACAAACTTGTAGGTTTGTCTCGGCATGCTCTATTGGCAACCGAGCTCGAGTGCAATGAAAGATTCCACCAAAACAAGGGAAAGACTTTTGTCCATGAATGGTAAATATCCAACTGAAGAAACTCGGCATATCTTTCTTTCACTAAATTTCAGGATGCCCAAATAAAAAATAAATTTTTTCAAGGAGACGAATTTGTATATCAATACACATATCCAGCAGAAAAAAATCAGTATGTTCCACAAACTTGACAGCTAGCGATCAATCATGGATCTCCTTGCACTGGTAGTAGGAAATAAATGATCAATAGTTTCCTATTACACCACTACCAAACATGATACGGTTATAGAATACACAAGATTAAAGAACCTACAATAGAACTGCTTGTACACAGACAAAAGAGTTTTTAGATCACCACATGCACACTGCTCTCATAACGCTTTTGCATCTTTATACATTTGTATGCATTGTCACTGAACATTCCAAAGCATGTGGGGACCATGCATAGGCATTCTTCTATGAGAGAGAGAGAGAGAGAGAGAGAGAGAGAGAACCTGGCCATGGTGCGTTATTGAAAATGTACACGGTTGCTGATACCAGGGCTCCCCATCGATGTGAACAGGCAGCGCAGCAAAGAGCTGTATTTTAATAGACTGCCCTTGAGCAAGCCTTCGAGCACGAGAAAGCCCCACCTATTGTACCAAATTATATATTAAACATGGATTGATAACAATCTTTTTGATGAATTTCTAGTTAACGGCTAAAACCACGAGTTCTGCTCTTTTTCCTTAAGGAGAGAATCTATTATTGGTTTTCTGACACTAAAGGTTCATAGGCAGAATGCAAGATAAGTATGCGCATTAGGCAATCATGTGAGATAATGCGACACAGGTTCACGTAATTTGACCCATTCTCGAATAACTTAATGAGATTGCTATGCAAAGAGCAAGCATGATTAGAAATGGAGAATAATCACACCACAGAATTTAAACCACTATCTCAACTTACTTAATAAGATTCTATGCAAAGATCAAGCGTAAGTAGGATGGAGAATAGTCACGTCACGAGTGTTTTACACAGTCACACATTTTGAGAAAATTTCACTGATCTAGACTAATACCACATCACACAACCTCAGTAACAGTAGTACCACAAATTCCACATTACCTGAAGCTTCCCAAGATGCCATGTCCCGGATATGCTTACGACTTCAAGTATCTTATCATGCATTAATTGTGGATCGAAATTATCGTAGGTCTCGTCCTCATTTTGCCATAGATCTACACCACCCATGTAGCTACCAATGTTTGCAACAAGGACACCTTCAGCATCCTATGGTCATTAAATAGGCTAAGAAACAGTTAGACTATAATTTGTACAAGAAAAAATGTCAAAAGCAATTTCTGTCAAGAAGAAGATACATCATGATGGCTAAAAATTATGACAGCGAAAGGATAACAAACAAAAGGTATAACATTTTTTCTCTTTTCTAAATCTATTACAATTAGACAGATATTAAAACATTAACCCATTCATGAAAGCCAATAATGAGACAAAAAGTAGTACATAAGTTTCCTTCTTTTCTCCTATCTAATCTATTAGGCACAGATAAAAAGGTATAAAGAGAACCAATATCATAGAGCAAAAGCTTAAAATCTTTCAAAGAATAGGGAGCCATCAAAGAAATAATAGAACGACAAAGATGATGACCACAACAATGAAAACAGTAGCATTAGCATGGATAAGTGGGTCAGCTTATATGGCACATCATTCTGTATCAAGTTTCCGACAACAATGAAAGAAGCAAGCAAATTGGCAATAGACGAAAGAAGTGCCAGGGTCACGAATTTTGATCTAAAAATTAGATGCTGCAGCTCCATGACAAAACATACACAAAGTAATCAGCATACTCACCTCAGGGACCTCTATCTCCAGACCATCTACTACCACACGAACTTGCCAAGGAAAATCAGCAAAAGTTCTATCCATTATACTTTTCGCACCTTCTCGAGCATAAAGCACTTTATTCATGAACTGCAAATGATGGAGGATCAAAAGGCTATCAGGTGTATTGTTTTAGGAGGCAACTGCTTTAGTGACACCATCACTAAAATTAATGGCCACTAGGTACAATTTTGTTATGATATTCCCCAACTTGTTAATCTTCATACTTCTGCAGTAACCAAGATCCACTAAAAGACTGAATGTAGATAATATGTATTCTGATGAAAAGTTTTACAAACTTAAGCCGCACTAATTTACTCCCAGACATCTAATTCTACAAACCGTTTCATTAATGTCAGGACAATATCTGACCGAAACTTCTCCAAACGCCCTAAAAAAACTAGGATATGGTAATTGCAAATAAAAACTCAACAAAATCACCTGACTGTAGAACAACTCTGGATTCTCCTCTCGTAGATTATGAATGTCCAGAGCAACCTTCGCATCACACCCAATTCCTGAAATAACATATGCAAGTCTGGTAACTCCAATATACTGCTCTAATAATAAGTATAGTCTCAAACAGACCGAGCAAATGCACAAAATTGGTATGCAACTAATACGAAGCTATACTGCTCTAATAATAAGTATAGCCACGAACAGACTGATCAAATGCACAAAATTGGCATGCAACTGATATCAAGCTACGCATGCATAAATTAATAACAAATGATAACTGGTGAGATCTTTCATAAAAGTGCAGAAAGACAGCCGAGTGTATGCTCGAAAGACATAAATTCTTCAAGTAGAAGGTTGAAAGTATTGGTGAGCTTCTGCTATTAGGGATGACTTCTGCAGCTATTTCGAGTTTGAAGCTTTAAAGGATAGGAAACTATCTTTTTTTACTGTGAAATATCTAAAAGCAGTCATTGTAAGACGCTTTATATAGTCATGTTTATTTGCACATGATTAAGACTTCTTCAATTAAATTGAGGTGTGAACACTATTATCGGAACTCAGCTGAAAAGGGTCAAGACCAAGAAGCCTCTCCTGATTGGCTTTCCACTTGTTTGGCTTGCGGAACTTTCTGTTTTTGTTAACTTCATGTAACAAGAGCACAAGAGATAATAAATGCATAACCTAAGTCCTAGAATAAAGTCGGCCTAGATTAACACTGGGCCGATTGGGATAAAAATAAATAGGGAGAAAAAATAAGCGATGGAACGCACCATATAACAAGCTTTTACATGCATCAATCTAAAGAAATCTTGCAAAGTTATGAGAGATGCTCTTGTTTGTACCAAGATAATTGTTCATAAACTTTGGCTGCAGGAGCGGTTTGCCCTGATTGTTCACGATTGTAACCTTCCACCGGTCAAGAATGGTCACAGCAGCATGCTCTATCTGGTGTAAATAAGCAAATAGGCCTCCCTGTTTCTCCAGTGCACCCATCCCACCACCCCAGGACAAAACTCTGGCAAGATCATTTCCAGTTCCAGCAGGAAGAATAGCGACAGGGGGAGGAGAAACAAAATTTTGCTTGTCTATGGCATTCAGAACCCACCCCACAGTACCATCTCCTCCACATACGAGAACTCTAAAGTGAGGCACCTTTCTAAATAAATAAAGACCCACCTCTGGGCCTTGTGCTGAACTCAACTCAAATACCTGCAAGGAGAAACGGATGCTATTCTCATTAGGAAAAGAACCAATGGATGCTGCAACAACACCTAATGTGAGCACGGGTGAACTAAATCCTCATATATGATGCAAGTCTATTCGCTATAAAATCTACAAGAACAAAAGCTAAATACCAGATGCTATAATTCATAAGGATAGTTTCCACAGAAATTCACAAATCCAACTAATCATTTCTTATTACAAGGTTCTGAGTTTTATTAGATGCAGTTGATAATAGTGTATCAATCACAAATCCGACTTATGGATCCATTCATGTACACCTTATCTTCATTTCTGTCCATCCCACTTCAATCTAGAATACAGCCCACTAAATCTCAGATACAGACTAACGCCACAAGGTGCCCAGATACACTCCGGCTTATGATCTGAACTGAAAAGTAAATCGCAACAATAGTCTGATTAACGGATTGTACCCACTTCTAACATCACATTCAAGTAAACCTACATGAGTGAAGCCCAAATTTAATGCAGTAGCAGAGTGTCAAACATCCCACAGCTTTCTCCAGAGTTTTGCCAAGAACGTCAGTTGTGCAGGTCTTGAAGCTATGGCACTCAATGAACTTCTCTAATTTTATTAAAATTATGCTTTGGTCATTAACAATACCCAGCAGGAGTAAATGAGCAAACAAAGAAAGACACATCATCCTGAACTGAATCTCTACCAAATTCTTGAGTTAGTTAACCAAAAATTATCAGGTATGTATTTCTTGAAACATCGTTAATCAATAAATTCTCTATCCTTAATTGAAAGGATGCTTTGGTCGATGACCGTACCCAACAAGAGATGTAAACAATAAAAGAGGCATGTGTGAGATGCATCCTGAGATGAATGTCTTGCTAATGTGAAATCACCTGAACAGGATTCAGAAGGATATTCATCTGTTGCTTGAGAGAGTCCCCTCGACGAGCTCCACTTTTCTTATTAATAAAAACCAACAACGGCCTTGCATCTGGAGGCAAATCAACCAATTCATATCTTTGTTTCATCCGTAAAGAATCATCCTTCTGATTGATTGATCCACTTCTTTTCAATCCAGCGTTCGATTCAGTCTTGTTATCCCCAGCTGCATCATTATGGGAAACCCCCATACTGAACTCTCCATTGCAATTCTCATCCAATTGGCAAGAACCATTCACTGCTGGATTTGACTCTGCAGTGTTCTCTGTGGATGTATCAGCGTTTCCGCTGTTCCTACTGTCAGCAGAAGTTTCAGATCCCTGTTTGTATTTCTTGCTTTGACTCCGGATAGTAGCACGCACCGATGAAGCAATTTCATTAGCTCCCTGTGTGATAGAGCTCAAAAATGCACCTGCAGGACTACGGTTCAACTCCTTGACAAAAAGCGGTGATAGGATCAACCTTCTGAGGGGGCCTAAATCACAAATATCGCCTGTTTCGTTAGACATATTAGTATGGCAATCTACATGAACCATTCGTTGACACCACAAGCAACACCATATAGGGGAACCACCAAGAAATGATCCACTACACGGCTCTTCACAGGAGCTACAGAAAGAAGTTTCATCAGGCAGATCAGTGATCTCTGTCCAACGAACAGTCCACTGATGCACGACCTTATCATTTCCAAACATAGATACACAATTGCAATCCTTCTGAGCACTTGAGGAACACTTAATGTGAGCTACTGCACCGCAAATGCTGCATCGATAGATATCTGAAGTGACCGCAGAACCAAGGGTTTGAGAAGGCGACGCAGACTTCAAGCACACACAGCAATTTAGGTTCTTGCCACGCGACCCAAACTCCAGCTCCCAAGAATGAGGCGCCACAGGAACCTTGTGCCTTGCCTTGGGATTTTTCTTCGACCGGGCTATGGCTTTCATCCAACTTAAATTGATATTTCGTCTCCATTGGAAGGCCGTGTAGAATATAGTGACTATTCCCACAAAGGCAGCCGCGAAACAAGAGATAACAAAGAGACGAGACTCGGCCAATTCTGAGGGGCTCTTACTGTTTTGCATGGAAAACCACGTATCAATTTCTTTATCATCATCCATGACTCCAACTACACACTTAATTCCTCTTCCATTGACAACAATACCCAACTCTATAAAGCAATAAACACGATCACTGCAGCTCAAAACCCACTCTCCCCTATCCTTAATAGAAAATCACCACCGAATCCCCAAAATTCAACCCTTATCACGAGCCGCAACAACTAGCGACAGCCTTTATAAGCCACAGATGAACTCCGAAGCCTTGATCGCGCCATTACAGTAAACAGACCTGAAAAAGAAACACGCAAGAAAGACATCGTCACCTCGACTTCAAAGTTCCTCGGTTCCGGCGGAGCTTTCCAAGCGACAAACCCCCCCGGGCCCCCTAAAAACAGACTAAAACCAACTAGATTCCGCTGCGAGCTCTCGAGGACAACGTTAACGCACTTAGAAAAAAACACAGAATCCTTCTGCGGGATCACGCAGGCAAAACGATCGAGCATTTTTCCGGCCAGAACGCCACTGATTTGCTCGAGGCGCGCGCGCACCGCGCGAGACGGCGGGCGAAGACGACGAACGCAACCGCACGGCAAGCGCCGTGGAAATGACCGACTTACCGATGCAGGCGGCGGAGGCGAGAGAGGCTCCGATTCCGGCGACGGAGGGAGGAGGAGCTTCTCGCAGCTCCGAATCTTCTCCGGCGACAGAAGCTTGCGCTTTCGACAGTTACAGCGAGAACATCACTCCTGCTAGTGCTTGGAATTAGCTCTTTTTCTTCGCCTTTGTTCTTCGTTTTTAAATTAAATCTCTTTTTCTTTTTCTTTTTCTTTTTCTTTTTACCTTTTTGCTTTTGTGCCTTTGCCTTTAATTTAACGTTCCGAGAGATTCCTCGCGCTCTCATCTCCGCCGTTGCCGCCGATGACGTGGCGGTTCTGGATGGTTCGGGGGACGCGGAATCTTGTCCCCGGCTTTCCAGGTGGCGCCGCGGGAGGGCTCTGATGACAACAATCGGGCCCACGTCGGCGATGACGTGGAACTTAATCCATCCACATGGACCGACCCCTCTCGTGAAAATATTAGGGTTGGACAATATTGCCAAGTCAATAATAAGACCTTCCATTCGGTGTGCGACATGTGTCCATCGAGTCTCTCTTGCCAAAAATTTTTGAAGCCCTCATTTTCCTCTCTCCGTTACTTTCTCCATTAGCTGTCTATGCTATTTTGCCCGCCCTCATGATGACCAAAACCCTTTTCATTTTTAATTTTGGGTGCGTTTATTTCACGAAAAATGTAATGTTTTTAAAAAATATTTTCCGAAAAATCATTTTCTAGGAAAATAATTAATTTTCTTTTGTTTGGTGATATATGATCGAAAATATTTTTTGATATATGGATTTCATTTGAAAAATGATTTCAATCCCATGATTTTATCTCTGGCAAAAAAAATAATTTTCGAATTTTTAAATATTTTTATTTTTAAAAATAAAAAAGAAAAAAAAAAGAAAGAAAAGAATAAAATAGTAAAAAAGTCAAGGGAAGCAATTCCGTTTCCCATCAAAATCTATTTTTCAAAATATGCTAAACCCATTTCTCTTATAATCCTTTTAGATACTAGAGCTAGTGCTTCGATTTTTGACACAAAAATTTTTCCAGAAGAATACTGGACTTCTTACATCCGGTATTTTAATTTTGCTTCCTTCTTAGATTAGGGAATTTACTTTCCTAATTTTATACATAAATATTTTTCTTGATCGGAAAGTATTTTCAATTGACTAATAATTTTCGACATGAAAGTCCGGAAAATGGATTCCCGGAAAATACTTTTCCCGAAACAAACACACCCTTAGAATTTATATCTTTTTCATAATAGCAACAATTTCACTTTCTCTTCTCATTTTCTCGGGAATTTCAACAAATGAAACTCTGAAGGTGTCTCTCTTCGCGACCAAACAAGCATCCACCGTTGCCTCTGCGAGCTCCATCGGCGGATCCGGTTTGTTGTCTCCGCCCGATGAGCAAAATCCACGTTAGGGTTTTCCTCTTCTTTCACACTTATGTTCGTGGGAGTCTACTTGTAAAGACTAATCTTCAAAGTTAAATACTTTGTTGGATCAAAGGTCAAGTTATGGTTTTTGAGGATTTCTTAATTTGGGTTTCCTTAGTTTTAATACAATGTTTGGACGAAAAGCTCAGCTCACGCTTTTGCTTAATGAGCTTCGAGGCCAATTTTTATTAACTCTCTACATTGAAATTGGATCTGGGAAATAGAAATTATTGCTCGATTTAAGCTTAGCAACTTCTTAACCCTCTTGGATTTAATTTGGGTCTAAGAAATAGAAGTAGTCGCTTGTCCTAGCCGGGGCTTTTTACATTTATTCTGTTGGCCTACTCAAAAGAACGAACTTGACACACATATTGTCGCTTCTTGCTCACCTTGCTTGTATAAGAGTTTGTATTTACTAACTTGACACGTATGGCATGAAGCTGTTTGCACGATATGCATTTTGATTACTAGGAGTTCTCGAGATGCTGCGTCAGTTTTACTTTGCGGTAGCTTTTTTGTTCAATGGCAAGTTGGATAGACAGTCATAAAAAAATGAGTCAAAAATGGAAACTCAGTCGGGAGATAAAGTTCTTATTGAATCATTAGATGTATGCTCGATGGATCATGCAGAGTGTTAAAACATCATTCATGCCTATTACTGCATCTGTTGCGTGTAAATTGGTCGTTTCATTGTCTGAAATTTGTCTTAACCGATTTGCTTGATTGCCATGACAACATCCTTGACTACTACGCATTTCTAAATGGCCTTTTCAAATTACAGTACGTGCATTATGCTTCTTTTTACTATTTTAAGCATATTTTTTTGGAAATTCTTTACCTCAGCATATCAATTAGTGTGTCCGCATTAATTATAGCTTCACCTGCAATCATGTTAATGCACTTTTTGTGCAAATTAAGCTTTCATTTGCTTGAAAATCAACTGTAAATTGTGTCCATCTTTTCAACTTCCTTTATTAAAGTCGTCTTCTATGGTTGCTAAACTTTTCTGCTTGTGTGCTTTGAGGATAAAGGTTTTTGCCAAGGCCTTTCATTTTCGGGAAAAGTGCCAAAAAAATCCTAAACATTTTACATTAGTGCCAATTTAGTCCTAAACCTTTTTTTGGTGCCAATTCAGTCCTAAACCTTTTGCATTTGTGCCAATTTAGTCCTAAACCTTTTTTCGGTGCCAATTCAATCCTAAACCTTTTAAATTGGTGCCAATTCAGTCCTAAACCTTTTGTTTTTGTGCCAATTTAGTCCTTCCGGCCAATTTTGACCAGAATTTGCCGACGTGGACGCCTGCCGGCCGGTCACCGGCGCCGACGTGGACAACTTTAATAATATTTTAATATTTTTTTGAATTTTTATTTTTTTTCCTTTTTTTTCTTTTTTTTCCGCTTTTTTTTTTTGGTCTCTCCCTCCTTCCTCTGGCCGGCGAGCTCGACCTTGCCGACCACTGGCGAGGGCGGCCTCGCCCGGCGAGGGCGCCGGATCTGGCGAGGTCGAGCCTCGCCATTTCTCGCGTTGGAAGTTTCTAAGAATCAAATACCCGCAAAGTGATGATTTATATAAGAATTCCATTCTTCTAACTTTTAAGCAAGACTATCTGTCTATCCTGAAATGTCTTTGTTTCCTTTCCATTGCCTTTTGGCGCAAAGTGAGTTTTATTGCAATGATTAGGAGCTATGAGGGAACCTTCAGCCGTTGGATATGTGGTTAGCTTAAATGGATAGAGTCGTGCTATTCGATGGTTAGGGGAAATTTGGTTATGCTAATAGGATATGCGATAAAGTAGAATTTTCACCTTTTTTTTGTTGCTCAAGTTTCATGAGTTCTCTTTGTCATGTTGTTGATAGATTGCTTTCTTCAACTCTTTCGAATTGTAACTTGCCTTGTGCAGCTTATATCTCTGGCAAGGAACAAATGGGAGTAGAGGCCGTGTCACTGTTACAGATTGGGAGAGTCCCTCAATAGCCTCTGGGTTCTAAAGAAAGCTTATTTTATTGGCGATATCTATACAAGTAGCAGTGAGGCGGGTCGCATTGTCGAAAAGGAAGCAATCAATCATTTATGAACTATTTATGCTCATTAATTTATCAAAATCCTTGTAATTATCCAGTTATAAATAAATAACCACCATGGAACTTGTATGATATAGTTATACTTGACCTATCATTCTTAACAGTATCACTGAGAGACAAATGACATAATACTTTTCAATATCTTTTTAACGACAACATTGTTGTGAATTCCGTGCATCTCAAAATGATAACGGTATTCATTCAGGATAGGCAACGAGCTTTCAAGAAAAACAAGCAATTCTCCATGTATCTCAAAATGATAATCATACACTATTCTTGACAATGAATGCCGTCGTTAAAATGATATCGAAAAGTTTTATTTCATTTCTGTCTAATGTACTATTATGAATGATAAGTAAAAGAATAATTTTATCAAGCAGGTTCCATGGTCATACTGGATAACTACGTGGATACTGATAAATTAGTGAGCATAAATACTTCATAAATGATGCGATTGTTTCGTTTTCGACAATGCGACTTGCGTCGCTGCTACTTGTAATGATATCGCCAACAAAGTAAGCTTTCTTTAGAATAGGCTATTGAGGGACTCTCTCAATCTCACGGCCTTTACTCCTATTTGTTCCTCGCTAGAGATATAAGTACACAACGCAAGTTACAAATAGAAATGAGTTGAAGAAAGCAATCTATCAACAACATGACAAAGAGGACTCACTTTAACACGCAACTTGAGCAGCGAAAAAGGTGAATATTGTACTTTATCGCGTATCCTATTAGCATAATAGATTTTCCCTAACCATCGAATAACACGATTCTATCCATTTGGGCTAACCACGTATTTATCGGCACAACGTTCGCTCATTACTCCCAATTCAGTGCAATAAAACTCATTTTGCGTGGAGAGGCAAAGGAAACGAAACGATGACATTTCAGAATAGACAAATGATCTTACTTAAAAGTTATAAGAAAGAAATTCATAAATAAATCATCACTTTGCAACTGTCAACGTGACAAATGGGGTAACTAATTTGCGATTGGGGATTTTAGAAAGCAGCAAGGCCAAACCTCCGGAGTGCACGGCAACTAGAACCTAAACACAAAGGACAGACTTGGGGAAAACCTTTATTATCAAATTAAGCATTCAAGCATAAAGAAGTTTAGTAGCCATTGAAGACAATTACGAAAAAGGAAGTTGAAAAGATGGACACAATTTATTGCCGCAATCGATTTTCAAACAAATAATAGCTAACTTGCACAAAAAAGTGCATTCACATAATTGCAGCTGAAGCTATAATCAATGAGGACACTGCTCCGAACAATTGACGTATTGAAATAAAGAATTTCCGAAAAATATGCTTAAAAAAAGTAAAAAGAAGCATAACGCATTTACAGTAATTGGAAAAAAGCCATTTAAAAATGCATCAGCATGCAGCAGTTAAGGATGTTGTCATGCTAATCAAGCAAATCCGACAATAGTTAGACATAATTTCAGGCAATCAAACAATCCATTTACGCTCAATGGATGCAGTAGCACGTGAATCTGACGTTTAACACTTTGCGAGATCATTTTAGCGTACATCTACCGATTCTATAAGAACTTGATCTCCCGATTGAGTTTTCGATTTCGAGCAGAGATGAGAGACCATTTAACCTCGTTTCGATTTTGCAAATAGGGATAAACATTAGTCTCTACAATAGACACACACGAATATGAGCGCGAAGGTGGAGGAAAACCCTAACCTCCAATAGATCTTCGCTCGTCGGACGGAGACAACGAACCAGAGCCGCCGACTGGGCTTTTGGAGGCGACGGCGGAGGCGGCTGCTTGTTTGGTCGTGAAGAGATACACATTCGAAGAGACATGTCTTCCTTCCTTGAAATTCCTGAGAAAATGAGAACAGGAAGAGAAGTTATTGCGATTCTGAGAGTGACAAAATTCTGGATTGAAAATGAAAAGAGGGAGCTTTTGATCGCAAAGAGGGGAGGGAGAAAAAGAGAGAGAGAGCACAGGTTGTGAAGCGAAGACGGAGCGAGATAGGAGAAAATATTCAGTGATTTGCGAGTGCCATGCCTGATGGCATGCGCTTATTTACTAATATCTAAATACATCTCGACGCATGGAAATTGACTTGAAAATTTTACAAATTTTTTTTTTCTCTCTCTTCCTCCTCCATCTACACCCACCTCTTCGCCTGGACTTGGTTATCTCCACCGCTTACCACCTTTCTTGAGCAACCGTCCCACCATGCCCACCTCGGTCAGCGGCAAAGTTGTTGAGCTCGTCGCTAGCAACCACGAACGAGCCAAGGCTCGTGCTCAAAGCTATTGAGCAACAAACCAGATCTGGCTGTTGAGCGATGGTTGATCGTTTCGTCCAGGCCGACCTCCGCGTCCACCCTCTTGGTTGTCCCCGATGCCGACCGTTGGCCGCAAGAGGGTTCGTCCACAGATACGGAGAAGCGAAGCGATGATCGGCCGTGTACGGCCTCTCGTCCACAAATCTGAGTGCCGTCCTCCACGTCCACCCCCACCATCGTCGTGAACGTCCCATCATCGCTCGCGGCCAGGATTCCTCATCTGGAGCCATGGCCGTGAGCGACGACGGTTCCGAATCTGGAAGTTCACCAACCTCCCGCGTCTCCCCTCCGTCGTCATGTGTGAATGACCCGTCGTCCCTCGAGGCCAAGGCTCAATCTGGCACAAATGGAACTGGTTTTGTTGAGTGCCGACTTGTCGCTCGTGAACAATCGTTTTCTGTTTTGGTCGCATGGCGCGACAGGAAAAAAAGGTGCAAATTTTTAATCATGGATTCTCTTCCGACCAAATTCAATGCCTTTGCCGCCAGATCTGGAAGTGAGGCACTGAGCGGAGGAGATGACCAAGCTGAACAGATGTAGCGCCGGTGACTCCGCCGGTGGCCATGGCGGTAGGGGGCGGGGGAGTTTGGAGTCGTGGCTGGAGATGGAAGAGGAGAATGTGAGAAATCCAGTTGGATTGGGAAATTTATAATATATTTCTCTATATCCATGTCATCGTATATGCGTTGTCAATTTGTAATTGGTTAAGAGTAAATAACACACGCCACATCAGCTGTTGAATATTTTCTCTGAAGTAGAGATACTGTGGACATCTAAGGAGAAACAAGGGAGAGAGAGAAAAGAGGGAGTTTCAAAAATTTCTGACAGATGGGACCCGATAGACACGTGCCGTACTCTGAACGAAGTGTCTTTTTACCGACTTGACCATCCCAACTAATACTTTCTCACTCATTTCTCGCACACCAACTTCCTGGCGGAATATATAATAAGGGAAAAAGTGATGTTATCCCCCCGAAATTCGAATAATCCGTAGAAGAAATTGTGGTTCATTTTCGCTTGAAATCATGTAAAAATTGCAAATATTGACTGCAATTTTATACATCAAAGAGATATATTTCCATTTTTTTTTCACTAAATCCATGGACGTCAAATGCAAATTTGTGTCATTTTCATTGGTTACCAAACTCCCTTCTTATAGATTTAAGCACACTTTTTAACATTAGAAAATAATTAAAAATAGGAAAAATTTGCAGATCTGCCCTACCAAATCAAGTTGCTGATGTTCCAGATCCAAGAGCTTGAGAAACAATCATACTCCACAGCAACAAAAATTGGGGTAGCGTTCAAAGAGAAATGAATGATGGAACAAGAAGAACAAGAGGGTCCATCCAGCATAGAGAACCCCTCTGTTCAGACAAAAACAGCAGTTCTTTCGAAAGAACAGAGAGAAACCAAACGGGGATAACCAAATATCAGCATCATTTCCACAGGCATGCCGGGACTTGAATCCGTCATGGGGCTACGATGATCCTCCCGGCAACTTGATCCAAATCCCGCAGGATGCTGGATGTGACTCTCCTTCCGCTGGCAAACAAAAGAATTAGAACGTTGAGCAATTGATCACAAAAGTTAAACAGACTCTGTCCCGAAGAGACACTAGGACCGTAACATTTCGGTTACGTTTCCATGTTCCTCTCGAACATTTTCGATCTGCAGAATTTCGGAATTTTCCACAGGCATAGGCATACCGCTACACCTCGGTTCATACAGTAAGGAGCGGTTTATCCATTCCAAGTCACAAGGGCCATCTCATTTCGTCATTTAATAAAATATATCAATGCCTGAGAATCAAGCTCATAGCTTCACCAGCCATAACATCCAAAACCCGAGATTAATTCTGCAATCCAACAATGAAATGTGAATTGGCCAAGAAAGCTCACCCCCTAGGGTCGACGTCGATGATGTTCATATTCTCCAGTTTCTGTAGAATGTGGCGAGCTATAGAGCCGCCGCTCTTGCAAAAATGCGCTAAAACAACCAGTGACAGCCCTTACAAGCAACAAATGAACTCCAAAGCCTTGATCACGCCAATACAGTAAACAGACCTGAGAAAGAAACGCGCAAGAAAGATACGATCATGTCGACTTCAAGCTCCTCAGTTCTGGCGGAACTTTTCAAATGACAAAACCCCCCCAGCTCCTAAATTTTTACTTAAAACTAGCCATACAAAGAGCCAGAGTCACGATTTCCTCCTGAATACCCTCTAAAAACAGACTAAAACCAACTAGATCCCATTGCAAGCTTTCGAGGACAACGTTCCTCGCGATCGCCAAAAAAGAGAATGCATTTAGAAAAACGGAAATCCAGGATCGAGCATGTAAAGGATCGAGCATTTCCAGTTAGGAGGCCATTGATTTGCACGAGTGCGCCTAATTGTGAGACAGCTAAAAAAACGACGAACGTAAGCACACAATACTATGGAAATGACAGATTTACAGATGCAGGCCCCGAGAGCGAAAGAGCCAAAACATAGCGATGATCCAGAGCGAGCGAGGGAGAGAGACTCTGTTAGAGGTTAGGGTTTTCCTCCTCTTTCTATGTGTAACTTGCGACATGCAGCTTATATCTCTGACGTGGAACAAATGGAAATCGAGGCCGTGTCGCTGTTTATGAAGAGAGATCGGGAGAGTCCCTCAATAGCCTGGTTCCAAAGAAAGCTTATTTTGTTGGCGATATCTATACAAGTAGCAACGAGGCGGGTCACATTATTGAAAAGGAAGCGATCAAATCATTTATGAACTATTTATGCTCATTAATTTATCAAACTCCTCTCGTAGTTATCCAGTTATACATTAATAATGACCATAAAACCTATATAATATATTTATTCTTGACATATCATTCGTAACAATATCATAGAGAGATAAATGAAATAAGACTTTTTGATATCTTTTTAATGATGGGATTCATGATTGTGAATTCCGAATATCTCAAAATGATAGCGGCATTCATACAGGACAGGCAACGAGCTTTCAAGAAAAACAAGCAATTCTCCATGGTTGTTAAAAAGTTATCAAAAACTTTCATTTCATTTGTCTCTCTATGGTAGGGTTATGAATGATATAAGTCAAGAATAACAATATCATGTAGGTTCCATGGTCGTTATAAGTAAAACTGGATAACTATGAGGATATTAATATATTAATGAGCATAAATAGTTCACAAATGATCCGTTCCCTTCCTTGTCGACAATGCGACGTGCCTCACTGTTACTTCTATAGATATCGCCAACAAAATAAGCTTTTTTCGAAACCAGGCTATTGGGGAACTCTCCCAGCCTCCCCTCTCTTCATGAACAGTGACAGGGCCTCAATTCCCATTTGTTCCTTGCCAGAGATATAAGCTGCACGACACAAGTTACTAATAGCAAGAGGAGGAAAACCCTAACGTCTAACAAGTTTTCGCTTGTCATACGAAGACAACGAACCGGAGCCGGCGATTGTGCTTCTGGAGGCGATGGCGGAGGCGGCTGCTTGTTTGGTTGCGAAGAGAGACACCTTTGTTCTTCGAAATTCCTGAGAAAAAAAACAAGAGAATGTGAAGTTACCACCATCCTTGAGCATTCGCCCCACCATGGCCACCACGGTCAAATGCAAAGGTGTTGAGCTCGTCGCCGGCAACCATAGACGAGCCAAGACTCGAGCTCAAAGCTGTTGAGCAGTATACCAGATCTGGCTGTTGAGCGATGGTCGATCATGTCCAGGTCGACCTCCACGTGCACCCGCTTTATTGTCCCAGTGGCTGAGCCTTGGCCGCGAGCGCTCCTCTTCATATATGGAGAAGCGGAGTAGTAGTCAGCCATGGACGGCCTCTCATCCACAGATCTGAGCGCCGACCTTCGCGTCCACCCCTTCAATCGTTCGTGAACGTGTCCCATCATCGGTCGCTGCCAAGTCTCCTAATCTGGAGCCATGGCCGTGAGGTACGACGGTTCCGGAACTGGAAGTTCACCAACCTACGCGTCTCCCCTTCCGTCGTCGTGTGTGAATGAGCCATCATCGCTCGTGGCCAAGGCTAAATCCGGCACAGATGGAACTGGTTCCATTGAGTGCCGACTCGTCGTGTGTGAACGAGCCGTCATCACTCGTGAACAACTGTTTTATGTTTTGGTCGCATCGCGCGACGGAAAAGGCGTGCACATTTTCAACCATGGATTCTCTTCCGACCAAATTCAATCCCTCGCCGCCATATCTGGAAGTAAAGGCACCAGGCGGAGGAGACCAAGCTGAACAGCAGCGTTGGTGACTCCGCCGGTGGCCGCGGCGGTAGGAGCGGGGGTAGGTTGGAGCCGTGGCTGGAGATGGAAGAGGAGGATGGGAGAAATCCAGTTGGATTGAGAAATTTTTAATATATTCTCTTATATCCACGTCAACATATATACGTGTCGGTTTGTAATTGGTTAAGAGTAAATAACATATGCCACGTCAGTTGTTGCGTGGCGCTCCCGAAGCAATGAATAATTTCTCGAGAGGAGAGAGATAGAACGGGGACAGCTAAGGGAGAGTGAGGAAAAAGTGAGTTTCAAAAAAAATTTGATAAGTGGGATCCGATGAACACGTGTCATGCATTGAATGAAGTGTTTTATTGCTAATTTGGCAAGATTGGCCTAACTAATATTTTCCCACCCATTTATGACTCATCACTTTCTAATCTGGTTACGTTGTGGAGCACACGAGCTTCCTCGTGGAAACAATTTTTTATTTATTTATAACTAAATCTGGTTGCCAATTTTTCAATTTCGCATAGATAAATAATTGTAAATTAGTATATTGTTTTGCTTGACTTTTTAAGAGAAAGAATGGGACATATTATGGGACATACAGTGTATTACAGACATATGATCAACGGGAAAAAAAGTTTAAACACGCTATAATTGTTTCCATCAGAAATTTAAGCTGGTACGCGAAATAATTGACAAATTAATTGTATAGATGCAAGTTATAGTAAAGTAAAAAGGATATTTTCCGTAGCCTGATTTCTTAACCAGTTTTAGGTCCAGCACTATTCTGTCATGAATTTTGTTTTTGCCTAACAAAAAACCCATAACTTTAAGTCCAAACCAAATATGCCCCGAACAGTTTTTAAAATAATAAAATAAAAAGACTTCCAACTTTAAGTTCAGTTTTAAATCTATCCTAAACTTTAACTTTAGGTCTAAATCTACCCCGCTAACCCTTTGTCCAAAAATTGTAGCTTGTCATCCCTAATTTCCCTATTTTCTTATAAAAAAATAGTTCCGCTTTGGAAATAATTTTCACGTGTGGTTTTTTTTTTTGGCTGATGTGAATTTGTTACTGACAGGAAAATACAACATCAAATAACTAATGCGATTTTTTAATGGAGGATTCGTGGAGGCAAATTTGAGACTGGATTAAAAGTTGATGATTTTTTTAAAACAAAAAATATTCAAGGCAAATTTAGCACTAAAATTAAAGTTACTCATTTTTTCAAACAAAAATAAGCCCGGAACACATTTTGGACTTTTTTTAGACAAGAAAAAGTTCGTCGGAGCTAAAGTTCGGAGTAGAATTTGGATTGGACCTTAAATTTGGTGTTTATTTGGAGATTAGGCCAATTTTCCCCTCATAATTTGATAAAAAAATCTTAATATAACCAAATAATCTAAATTAGCCGTATTTAGGTTAGTAAATGGAGTAAAATTACTAAAGATACACATATTACAAATTTCCTAGATATGATATATAATAAGGGTGATCGTCCACCTGAAATTCGAATAATCCATAGAAGAAATTACCGTTAATTTCCCCTCGAAATCATGTAAAAATATAAATATTGACAACAATTTAATACATCAAAGAGATAGATTTCCATTTTTTTTTATAAATAAAACCATTGACATCAAATGCAAATTGGTGTTATTTTCATTGGTTACTAAACTCCCTTCTAATCGATTTAAGCACATTTTTAAAAATTATAAAATAATTAAAAATAGCAAACATAACAGATCTGCCCTACCAAATCAAGTTGCTGATGTTCCAGATCCAAGAGCTTGAGAAACAATCATACTCCACAGCAACAAAAATTGGGGTAGCGTTCAAAGAGAAATGAATGATGGAACAAGAAGAACAAGAGGTCCATACAGCATACAGATCCCCTCTGTTCAGACAAACACAGCAGTTCTTTTGAAAGAACAAAGAGAAACCAAAAGGGGATAACCAAATATCAGCGTCATTGCCACAGGCATGCTCGGCCTTGAATCCGTCATTGGGCTACGACGATCCTTCCGGCAACTTGATCCAAATCCCGCCGGCCACTGGATGTGATTCTCCTTCCGCTGGCAAACAAAAAAATTACAACGTTGACGAAAGTTAAACAGACATCTGTCCTGAAGAGCGACTGGGACCATTTCGGTTATGTTTTTCATGTTCCAATTGAACATTTTCGGACTGCAGATTTTCAAAATTTTCCGCAGGCATTGGCATAGGCATACCGAGATACCTTGGTTCATACAGCAAGGGGCGGTTTATCCATTCCAAGTCACAAGCGCCATCTCATTACGTCATTTAATAAAAAATATAACTGCCTGAGAATCAAGCCGATAGCTTCACGAGCCATAACATCCAATACATGAAGAAGGAAAGAAATTCACTAGTTAATCAACAAAGGCGCTTCTTGCAAAAAGACGTGAATGCTTTAATCTTCGAAGTTAGTAACCAATGCGATGCACTTCCACGGCATACTTTCCAATAGAATCTTTCTCTCCCATGAGCAAAAGAAACAACTTTGCCCGCCAAACGCAAAAGGACCGGTATAAATGCCATTTATCATGACAACCAAAACCCGAAATATAATTCTACAGTCCAATAATGAAATGTGAATTGGCCAAGAAAGTTCACCCTCTAGGGTCGACGTCGATGATGTTCATACTCTCCAATTGCTGAAGAATGTGGCGAGCTACAGAGCCGCTGCTCTTGCAAAAATGCGGTGGACGACTGCCATTCCTCTTGCTTCCGCCATAGATTCTACGGAACGCACCGACACCGAGACCTCCCCTCAAATAAATCTTCCTGGCCATGGAAGCTGTAATCCAGAGAAGATATATCAATTATATCCATGATTAATTTACAAGTCCGCCATATTACATAGGCTCCGTTTGTTTCGAAAAAAATAAATGATTTGAAAAATATTTTCTTAAAAATAATCGCTTATATCGCTTACAAAAAAGAATGAACAAAAAATATTTTCATCCTTTGCGAAAATGTTTAGACAGTAAAAACTTTTTTCATTGACTAATTATTTCAAGCTATACAAACCATCTTCTTAGGAAAATATTTTCCAAATCATCCAATTTGGCCGAAACAAACAGACCCTTAGTAACTGACTGTGTTCCGAAGCATACGTACCGGCTCTGATGAAGTACCAATCAGGGTCGTATGGAGCGAGCTCCTTGAACGTGGCGGTCTTCACTATATCAGTCCAGTGAGGAAGTTCAATCTAACCATAGTCAAAAGGGGAAACAACCGTGAGAACAACAAGAACCTAAACAGCACAATCCCGTGTCCGAACAGACCAACCAACCAAAACCTTAAACTCAGAAGTTCCAAAGCAATGCACCACACTGGGTTTGCCGCATAATTCACAGGGCAGGGCAAAACCGGAGATTGCAAACAGATTGAAACCATCTCTCGGGACACAAAATGCTAACTTCGATCCGACAATCCGCGAAACGTTATCGATCCAACACGCACTCGAAGTTCGATCAAGCCAAAGACGATCACCGACGAAAAAAGACAGAAGGCAAGATGCGCGAAATCGAAAGAGACCTTGCCGGACCGCTTGAGATGACCGGCGTACGCCTTGACGAACTCGTGAGGCGAGACGTCCTTCACCGTCCTCGCCGCCGTCGCCATCGCCGCTTCCGATCGCTCGACCTCTTCTCGCTGCGTCACTGGGGCGGCGGAGATCGGCGGAGAGAGTGGATGTGCTTCTGTGTGCGTGCGCGAGCGAGAGAGAGAAGGGAATTAGGGTTTTAGGGTTCTGATTCAACGCTCCGAGTCCCGGAAAGCTCGGGCTCGTGGGCCGATTTTAGCGGGTCGGGCTGTTCACGGAGGCCCGTAATTTCGGGCCCGGCATGGAACTAATTGGGCCTGGTTGGGCCTTTCGGAGCCTATTCTTTGTCCGCGGAAAAATTAGCGATTTAGGTTCCGTTCGTTTGGCGGAAAATATTCTCCTTTTGGAAAATATTTTCCCGGAAGTCATTTTCCTGGAAAATGTTTTCCCGGAACATAATTTTCCGGTGTTCGGCAACCAATATGAAAAAGTTTCGGAAAATATTTTTCGCCGTGGATCAAGTAGCGGCATGCAGCGTCCGGCGGCGGCGGCGATCAAGGGCGGCCGGCAACCGACGGCCAACGTCCGGCGTCCGGTGGCGGCGGGCGACCGGGCGGGCAGAGGCGGCGGCAACGGCGGCGGCGACCGGGCGGAGGTGGCCGGTGGCCGCGGCGACCGGTGGCCGCGGCGGCCGACGACCTTAGTGAAGAAGAAGAAGAAGAAGCTCCGAAAAATAATTTCCGTTTTTTAAAAAGCGGAAGTCATTTTCCGTAGACTTAGGCTATTTTGTGAGGGGGGGAAGGAAAATATTTTCCCACGGAAAACGTTTTCCGCCCCCCGAAAACCGGAAAACCCGGAAAATATTTTCCGGGAGAATATTTTCCGCCAAACGAACGGAGCCATAGAAAATAATTTTCTAATTCGATCGTTTGTCTCGCTTGTAAAAATGAGTTTACGGAAGATATTTTCACTATCAACCATAATTTTTTTTGGTCGAAACTGTCAACAATAGTTTAGGTTTGGACCCTTTTGTTAACAATGGAAGCATTTTCTGTTGGCTCATTTTCCTGTACAATATGGGCAATCAAAATTAGCAAAATATTTTTTAAATTGTTGATTTTTCGCGAAATTAATGGAGCCGAAAAGATAAATACATTTTCTTTAGGTGGTTAGCAGCAAGCAAGTTTTGAGTTTTGACCTGACAATGCTTTTACGATCTCATGTCATTAGTAGTAAATTTACATATAGAAAAGTAGAGTAATCGGGAGAAGATGATTAGTTATGAGGCGTGCCTCGGCCTATTTGAACTCGAGCTAGGGACGGAAAAGGGTGATGAGTCAAGCATGGACTAAGGATCCGATCCGGGTCCTTCCCGCAATCACCACTTTTCCTACAAACTAGAGTTATATTGATGAGACAGTATTAGAATAATAGGATCAGTAAGAAAGTATTGCAAGGACATATTGATAGAAACAAAACCCTAGCAAAAAATTAGTGATCTACCTATGGTAACTTTTGATTTATATATACTTTTGTTGGAAAAAATGTCAAAAAAGTCATAAACCTATTACATTGGTGTCAATTTAGTTATAAACCTCTTTTTGGTGACAATTTAGTCATAAACCTAGTGCCAATTCAGTCCTTCCGGCTAATTTTGGCCGAATATTGCTAACGTGGACGTCAGCCGGCTTATGTGGCACCGCCGGTGTTTAACAATTTCTAATAATATTTTAATTATTTTTTTGATTTTTTATTATTTTCTTATTTCTTTTCTTTTCTTTGTTTTTTCTTTTTTCGTCCTTTTACTGGTGACCGGCCACTAGCTACAGACGATGGCCGAGGGGCTGGTCTCGCCTGGGTGAGGTTAGCCGTCGACCGGCCAGGCGAGGCCCTCCTAGGCCAAATCAGGCAAGGCTAACCCTCACTTAGAACACAGGGCCTCGCCGAACTGATCTAAGCGAGAGTCGGCTTGGCCTAGGTGAGGATCGATCTTGCTAGATCTGGCCTAGGTGAGACCAATCGTAGCTAGGCTTCATCTGGCCAATGGCCGGCCATCGTCTATGGTCAGTGGTCGGTCACCGACTAAAGAAGAAAGAAAGAAAAAAAGAAAAGAAAGAAATAGAATCGGGAAAATGAAAAAAATACTAAAATATTGTTAAAAATTTGTCCACTTCAGTGCTAGCGGTGCCACACAGGCCGACCGACGTCCATGTCAGTAATATACGGCCAAAAGTTGGAAGGATTAAATTGGCATCAATGCACTAAGTGTAGGGCTTTTCTCACACTTTTCCATACTTTTGTTGTTCTTGTAGATGAAAGGTAAATTTGATCTGAAATAGACAGATATGTACATTTATATTTTTATAATACATATGAATGTCGTGTATCAAAATTTGATTAATCTTACCATTGACCTCTTTCAAGGTTGTCGACGTGACAATGATGATGACTTGGCTTTGGCTTTGGAACCCCGTTGAAGTCAACATCTTCACTTTGCTTTCCCCGGGAGAGTGATTGGAAAATTCTTCATTGCTTTGATATGAAAAGAAAGGAAGATTTCACAGATTCATCAAGAAATAAGCGGTCCACGTTTAAAAGCTGATCATTGATCTTGGATTTCTTGATTATTCTCGTCACTCTAGTTCTTATGGCCCCCATTCATCCTTCACTGCCGACATTTATGTCACTCTAATTCTGATGTCGAGAGGAACCTTTCATGTTCATATGCTGACAGACAGAAAAACCAATGAAAAACCAATCCAGATGTTGCACAAACCGGTTGATTCCCAGCACAACTTTGGTCAGATGACAGCTCACATGGATATCCGTCGGATCCATGGAGAATAGTACTATTAATTCTCACACCCGGCGCATGCAGACACTCAGGGCGGTCCATTCATTGGCGATGTTGGAAAGTATGGAGAGGCAGCCGCACGTTGTAGCAATAGCCTTCCCAGCACAAGGCCACGTGGGGCCTCTCATGAAGCTGTCGTGCCAAATCGCTTGTCATGGGATCAAGGTGACGTTCGTGAGAATGGAGTGGATTCATGCTCGGATGCTCGAAGCATCGGGGGGACAAGGATCATCATTGGGATGGGATTGAGATAGCAGCTGTTCCGGAAGGAATGGAAGAGGTTGAGGACATGGGGGACAAAGAGGAAGTTGCTGAGACGAGGGCGAGGGTCATGTCCCGTCATTTCGAGGAGCTGTTCAGGAAGATGAACTCATCTCAGGACAGAAGGGTCACTTGTGTCGCAGCCGATGCAACTATTGGATGGGCTTTCGAGGTTGCCGAGAACTTGGGGATCAAGAGGGCAATGTTTTGGCCTACTGTTGTACCAGGCTTAATCTTATCGCTCTCCATCCGCTGTCTCGTCGAGACCGGCGTAATTGACAACTGCGGTACATATCTTTCAACTTGCTTTAGCTCGACGAGGATAGCACAACGAATTTCTTCGAGCATGTGATTCTCCAGTGTTCTGCTTTCACCACCTGTTTTAAGTCTATATAAGCACACGTTTGGAACAGTCTGAAATCAAAACAACCTAAGAAAAACGCAAATATCACGACCTGTCACAAAGGCAAAGTTGAAAGCAAATTTCGAGGAAGAATAAGTGAAAATGAAATCCCCACCAGATTTCTCTGTAGGTTCTACTTCGAAGGACACGGCCATCCAGCTCTCTCCGGAACTTCCCCCCATGAAAATTGCGGATTTGTTATGGCGCTGTCCCGGTGACCTAAGAAGGCAGGCTATCATATTCAGATATTGCATGAGCGTGAACAAAAATGTCCGAATTTTGAACTGGCTCCTCTGCAACTCTTTCTACGAGCTCGATCACGCCACTTGCGGCTTGATCCTTGAACTACTGCCTGTTGGACCATTAACTTCTGCCGATCGCTTCGGGAACTTTTGGGCCGAGGACCTCGCCTGAACTGGCTCGATCGGCGACCTCCCAAGTTAGTCACATATGTAGCCTTTGGAAGCATAGCTGCTTTCAGCCAAAACAAATTCAAAGAACCAGCCCTGGGACTCGAGCTTCAGGGCATCCATTCTTGTGGGTAGTGAGGTCAGGCTTCACAAACGAGGACGAGATCAAATACCCAGTTGGGTTCTCGGAGAGGGTATCAGATAGAGGCAAAATTGTTTCGTGGGTGCCGCAAGAAAAGGTCCTCTCTCATCCTTCGGTTTCTTGCTTCGTGACGCACTGTGGCTGGAACTCGACCATGGAGGGCACAAGCAACGGCGTGCCCTTCCTTTGCTGGCCCTACTTCGCAGATCAGTTCTATAACAGGAGCTACAGATGCGACACGCTGAAGGTGGGATTAGACTTGAAGGCAGAGGAGGCAGAGATCGTCTCCAGGTACAAAATACAAGCACGACTAGAACAGCTCCTCTCCGATGTGCAAATAAAGGAAAATGCAGAGATGCTCCGAGGAATGGCCAAAAGGAGTGTTTCTGAAGGGGGATCGTCTTCTATAAACATCCAGCATTTTGTTTACCAGCTGAAGCGTTGCTCAGAAGCTGTCCATTACAGTGACTAAATGATGCAAGTGTCGAGTAATCAATCTCCTGGGATTAATAAAAAAAAGGGAAACTTACATCAGTGAACTCTCATGGTGGTGAATGACAGATAGAGCTGATAAAACTACACCGGCAGTGTCTTGCAAACAGTTACTTGAATCAGAAGCAAGCTGCTACTTGCAACATGCTTATTAAAAGTAATTTCTTTTGGTCCTTTCGGATGTTCAAAGACGTTGTGTTGCGCGGATTGGTTCCTTCGTCTGGAAACTATGACTGTAACATCTACGCGACTAATCTGCTGCATTCTTCTTCACGGCAGTTCATGTGCTTCAAGAGGTCCCGCTGGAGAACAACGTGCTTAGATTTTAGGCCACGGTACTTTCAGGCGCGATCATAAACAAAGGCTGCAAGAAAGATAAAATAAGACATACCCTACAATTACAGGCATACGTAAAAAGACAGAATATCTAATTCCACCAAAGAGATGCCTTAAAGATGACATGCAGACATGCATATCTACCACACACTTCAAGTACATTTTCCCTAGCCAAAACACAGGATCTTGCTCATTTAAGAGCCTAGTGTTTCGGATTATTTGCGCTGCTTGAGGTCACCCTCTTTGTCACTGCTTGAGGCGACGTCAATAGCCATCCATGGCCCTTTTCCCAACTCACTCTATTTCTCCAGCAGTTCTGCATCTGTCATTAAGGAGCCTTCCATAATCAAAAAGCTCACTTTGCTATAATTTTCACGTCGAAGTTGCAATTCATAGTAATCCCTATCACAAAATCTCAAACCGAAATCTCCGTTTAAGACTCAGTTTGTTTCGCGAAAAATATGACATTTTTGAAAAATGTTTTCCAGGAAGTCGTATACCATTCGATGCTCCCATGGGCAGCCGGGAAACCAGGTACTGGCACTAGAGTCTCGGGTTCAACCTTGATGGACCTCCACTAGGGTGTCAGGGATCAAGGCATGGGCATCAACCTTGATGGACCCGAGCGCGGATAATGGGGTTCCGAGTTCAGCTTCAATGGGGACCCGGGCACGACCTTTTGTGGACATGAGCCCAGGTGTTAGGGATTCGAGCTTGGGTACTAGGATCCCGTGCTTGGCCTTTATGGACTCGGGCCCTGGTGCCGACGCATCAGGAATGGACATTGTGGCTTTGGGCCCAACCTCAATGTACCCGAGTCCCGAGCTCAGCCTCGATGGACCCAGGCAAGGGCGCCAGGGCATCAGGCACGAGCACTGAGGCTTTGGGCCCTATCTCGATGTACCTAGGGGCCACGATATGGGCACGGGGGTCCTAAGCTCAGCCTCGATCGACCCAGGCACGGGCATCGGGGATTCAGGCAGTGGCACCAAGTTCACAGGCTCAGCCTTAATGGACTCAGTCCCGAGCCCCAGAGATTTGTTCCTAGATGCCGGGAACCATGGCTTTCATGCTCAAGCATTGAGTTTCAGTTGAAGTGCTGACACCTAGTCATATTTTAAAAAATGTTTTTCGATTTTTTAAAGAGTGAATAATTTTCCTAATTTAAGATTAGATTTCGTTGTCTAGGAAAACATTTTCCGTTGACTCATTTTTCTAAGCGAACTAAACACCAGGAAATGAGGATTACGGAGCCTTAGGACGCGAACAATAATCATTCTATTTCAAAATTAGATTTTTTGCTAGAAATAGATTTTTCTATTTCTATTATATGTACGAGTTTCTCAAAAGAGATACACGTTTGATAACGACATAAAATTTTTCTTCCCATAACAAAAATTTATTTGATAACGACACAAAATTTCTCTCTCTTACACTCTTTTCCATTCATCGACAGGCAATGGCGGAAGGTGGCAGCCAAAGAGGGGTGGCGGTGGCCTGTGGTGGGCGGGAGGCGAAGGCGAGCGACGAGAAGAGTTTTTATTTATCTTTTTGTTCCAAGAACAAAAAGGTATAAAATTTTTACAATTACATTACCAAACGAATTTCTTTATTTATCTTTTTGTTCCAAGAACAAAAAGGTATAAAATTTTTACAATTACATTACCAAACGAATTTCTGTTATAAATATATTCCCGAAAAAATAGAAAAACAGAGAAAATTAGTCATTCCTTGGCGGCACCAGGTTTGCCTTACCTTGCATTGCTCCATGCCACGAAGGCCTGATATTTTCCGTTCCCAAAGTTGTAAGCGTAAATGGCTTCGTGCAGTTTTGTTTTTCTACTCTTTTTTCTCGGCGACTCTTTTCAAAAGTTTCTTGAAATTGATCTTTAGGTCTAAGTCGTAATTCTTTAAAAAATTCCAATTTTAGGTCGGCTTTCAATTCTAGCCGAAACTTTTGTTGTCTCATGAAAAAGCATAGTTGTTCATAAGGAAAAAAATTAAAAGGGAAAATGATATAAATGATTTCTGAACTTTAACCCAATGTGTAATATAGTCCCGCAACTTTTAATTTAATTGATATGGTTCCCGAATTTTTAATTTGTTCAATGTGGTTTTTGGACTTTTGGTACATGTTCAATTTAGTCTCTTAACTATATGAAAATGTTCATTGTTTCCCCTAAACTTGAATTAATGGAAGAATAATATTGACCATTTTCACACAGGTCAGGGACTAAGTTGAACACGTTACCAAAAGTCGAGGGACCATACCAAATAAACTAAAAGTTCATGGACTACATTACATATTGAGCTACAATTTAAGGACCACCGCATTACATATTATACTAAAATTCAAGAATCATTTGGATCATTATCCCAAATTAAAAGAAATCCCCCCAACGGCTATGAGTGCGAAATCGTCCGGGGTAGTTGGAAACCGTTGGCGCGAACCGAGAGAGAGACCTCGCGGGCATCGCCCGCCAGCTATGGCCGCCCGCACTCTCTCTCTCTCTCTCCTCGATTTCTCAGTCCAAAAGTCCTTTTGCATCTTTCCCATCCGCTCGCCACTTCCTCCGACCGAGAAGCAACGTTCCCTTCGAGCTCTGTTCCATGGCGCCCTTCTCGATCCACTGCCCCAGTTCCTCCGCCTCTCTCTGTTCCTCTCCGCCTTCGATCCGGACCCGCCGCCCCAACCGGCTCCGATCGGCCTCGAAGCTAGGGGGCGGATTCTTCGGTGCATCGCCGCAAGCTCGTTCGAATCTCCAGGTAAGCCAATGTGCACGCATTCATGATTACCGATGTGCATTTATAGAGCTAATTTGATTGTCTCCTTTGAAATCATAGATAGGCATAATTTGGAGATGGATGCATGGAAATGAAATAATTTGAATTCCCCGTTTTCTTTGTGCTGATGGTGCTTGTGCTCGTGAAGTTCGCGCAGCAGTCTAGCGGCTCTAGTCGATGCCGATCTCGGGTTTCGAGAGTGAATGCTCTTTTCAATGAGGTAAGCACTGAGTAGTAAATCATGACTGATGGCCTGGTTTCCCATCCAGTCATCTTCGGTACATGTCCAGGTATATATCTCGATCAGCTCTTCGCTTCTTGACAACCTTGTACGATCGCAGGTTTCTGTAGCAGGCAGTGAAACAGATGCAGATGCGGCGAAGAAGGAAATTCGCCTGCCTGATGTGTCGTCCATTTCGGCTTTCATGAATCAAGTGGCAAACCTTGTTGAGTATGTTTAAACTCGTTCTACTGTACTCTCGAAACCACATTCTTAGCTATGTGTGTATTCTTTTTTTTTTTTCACATGGCCGTTTATATGACGAAGATAATTTTCAAGACCAAGGGTTTGTGCTGTTGACAAAAGACATGCTTCCCCTAGCGATAGCCCGTATTGAGTCTCATTAACCACTTCACCCATGTCGCCTAATCAAGAAAAGAAGAAGTAAATTTCATTTGTTTGTGCTGTTTCTGAGTTCATCCATCACATTGGTCGACAGGTTAGTTGATTCACGAGATGTTGTTGAGCTGCAACTAAAGCAGACGGACTGTGAGGTCACCATCAGGAAAAAGGATTCTCTCCAACAGCTGCCTGTTGCGGCTCCCGTTTATGTGGGGCCACCCCCTTCTCCGCAAGCCATGCTTCCTCCACAACCCCCTGCGACACCAGTTCTCGCTCCTGCTGCTTCTAATTCAGTTCCTTCGACCCCTAGTTCCACTCCGGCAGCTCCTGCTGCTAAGCCAAGCACACCATCACATCCGCCACTCAAATGCCCCATGGCTGGAACATTTTATCGATCTCCTGCTCCGGGCGCACCACCTTTTGTCAAGGTAAACTCCCATGTCGTTTAATCTTTGTGGCCATATGTTTATGCTCCTGCATATTCTGGTGTAAGCATACAACTTGCCCCAATTCATGCATTGTGGGAGAGGAGAGGGCTGAGTCACAACAGATTTTAGAAGTTCGTTGTGCTTGCTTATGCATTTGAAAGATTAAGAAGAGTTCTGATATATGGGTATGGGTATGCATCCACAGTTTCTTTTACAAGACTTCCCTGACCATAAATATCAAGTTAGATGGTAGCCTCCTTGACTACGTCCACTCAGATTTGGTATAGGTGGGACTCCAAATCTTCTTTTGCATGATGTGATAATATATGGTCATGAAGATTTTGCAGAAGTGTCAACTGTTTTTAGATAGTAGGAAACCTTAAGAGTCACTTTAAACAGACTAAAACCCAAATTATGAATTTACATACGGGATAATGACACAAACAGTCCTTAATTGAACTTTGGGCAAATGTGCAATTTGGTCCCTGAACTTTTAATTTGTTCAATGTGGTCCATGAACTTCAACCCAATGCGCAATGTGGTCCCTAAACTTTTAATTTGTTCGATGTGGTTCATGGACTTTCAGTACATGTTCAATTTAGTCCCAGTTAAAGTTCAGGGACCACATTGAACAAATTAAAAGTTCAGGGATCAAATTGCACATTTGGCCAAAGTTCAAGGACTGTTTGTGTCATTTTCCCATTTGCATACAGTTTTGGCTTTTGAGTGATGCTATGCAAATTCAATCCAGTTTCTTTCTTGCATGCCAATGATGAACCTCGTTCAATGTTCTTGTATGTTTATGCCTACAATTCCTCTAGTTTAGTTCAATGCTCGATCTTTAAGTGTAGTGCTTTTGAGTACTTGGTGTCAGAAGTTTGACTATACAATACCCTGAAGTCAACATATGTTGTGGGGCAATTATCGTGATGTGATAAACTTCTCCAAGGACCACAGATTAAGAATCGACCTTCTAGGACCTCAGGGTTTAACCCAAGGAGGTCCGACTCTATCATTCTCCAATTGGAGTGTTCCTTAACTGGCTTCTCCAATATCATGTTTTCTTCTTGTTCCTCAGGTTGGAGACAAGGTTCAAAAGGGTCAGGTTGTATGCATCATTGAGGCCATGAAGTTGATGAATGAGATTGAAGTAAGTGTCTATATCTAGTATTTGGTTAACCTGTTTTGTTTGCATGTACTTCTTTCTTCCTGTTATCCAGGTCATTTGATGTCTGTTGTGAAGAGATTATACTGAGCACCTACAGGAATTGTCAGTTAGAAGTAGAGATTTCAGTCAGGCAACCTTTTTCTTTCTAGAAAGCCAAAGTGCGAATCTTCATAATAGAGAAGATGGGAAAAAACAATGAGTTGGAATATTAATTAGGTTCTTCTTTTAAGGTGTTTTTGAGTGCTTTAATTGATTTCAGTTGTTCCATGGCGAATCTAATGAAAAGTCATTTGTTCAGTTGAGCATTCCTAACTGGAACGTGGCTTCTTTTGATAACTTATTTGCCTGTCCTGCATATTTCATCTGAAGGTTTTGAAGCAAAGATATGAACATTATTTATTACCTTCAATAATAAATAGAGATCGTATAATACATGATGGCTAAATTCTTCAACACCAACCATAGCTCCTTCTTTTATGTCAGGCTGATCAAAGTGGAACTGTGGTTGAGATACTTGTAGAGGATGCAAAACCAGTTAGCTTGGACACAGTAAACTTCTCTCTCTCTCTCTCTCTCTCTCTCTCTGCTTTGTCATCCCGGTATCTGATATATGTAATGTCCTGCTGATTTTTATCTTTCTTGCAGCCTTTGTTTATCATTGCACCTTAAAGTACCCTATCCTAAAATCTGAGCCTGTTGTTCTCCGGTGGAATCTCTTGAAGCAACTGAACTGTCAAGCAGAAGAATGCAGCAGACTAGTCACTTAGATGTTTCACTGATAGTTTCCCAACAGATGAACCAATCCATGCAACACTTTGTCATAGAGCATCTGAAAAGACAAAAAGAAAAACTTCTATAAGCATGTTGAAGTAGCAGCTCGCTTTTTATTCAAGTGACTGTTTGCAAAAGACACTGCCAGTGTCTATATTAGCCACTTGAGACTTGAGATGCTTTTTCATATCATTTTCGGAATTCGATTACGCTATGAAATAAAAGGATTTTCTTGCAAGTTGCCTCTTAACAGATGGCTTAGGAAATAGTGAAGAAATTTTCTTGGTAACAGTGCAAAAAAGTCGCCTTTATGGATATTCTAGAGGCAGTAGTAGTCCAGAAGACTCAGCACCAGACCACCCTATACTATGCGTCTTCCCTTTCATCTTGTTAGACATCGACTGTCTCAAGAGTGTTTGGGTCCTAATTTGAATTTGAGATGGAGTACCTGGGAATTTGATTCAGCCATAGCATTGTTTGGTTTGTTCTTTGAAAGAAAATCTAAAGTATCGACTGCTTGGAAAATCTTGGCAGATGATGGAGAATATATAACTGTGGTTTACCTCTTCCTTTCTGCGATTTAAAGAGAATACATCTGCTCCTAGTTGTTATCACAAACGACAGATTTTTTTATTGAACTCGTGCAATGGGGGACCGAGTAATTTTCAGAGTTCAAGTACGACTTTTGCTGACTAACCGAATGATTTCAAAAGTGTATGCATACTATGTCTGCTATATTGCGGCTTAGGCATCCAAACGGGACTTATTTTCCTTCGCTCTTAGGACCAAATTGGTTCAGAAAATGCATGTTAATACGCTCATTTTTTCAGTACTGTCATTTACCACCACGAGAGATTACTGGTGTGAGGCCCATTTCATATTACTAATCCCATGAAATTGATCACTTTTGACACTTGCGCTATTTATACACAGTGATAGACAGCTTCTGAACAACATTTCAGCTGTTCAACAAAATGCTGGATGTTTGTAGAGGACGATCCCCCTTCAGAAACACTCCTTTTGGCCATTCCTCTGAGCCTCTCTGCGTTTTCGTTTATCTGCAAATCAGAGAGTAGCTGTTCTAGTTGTGCTTGTATTTTGTGCCTGGAGACGATCTCTGCCTCCTCTGCCTTCAGGTCTAAACCCACCTTCAAAGTGTCGCATATGTAACTCCTGTTATAGAACTGATCTGCAAAGCAGGGCCAACAAAGGAAGGGTACGCCGTTACTTATGCCCTCCATGGTCGAGTTCCAACCGCAGTGCGTCACGAAACAAGAAACCGAGGGATGAGCAAGGACCTTTTCTTGCGGTACCCATGACACTATTTTTCCTCTATCCGATACCCTCTCCAAGAACCCATCTGGGTACTTGATCTCTTCCACGTTAGTCAAGCCTGACCTCACTACCCACAAGAATGGATGCCCTGAGAGCTCGAGTCCCAGGGCTAGTTCTTCGAATTGGTTTTGGCTGAAAGCCGCTAGACTTCCAAAGGCTACATATATGACTGACTTGCGAGGTTGCAGGTCAAGCCAGTTCAGGCAAGTGAGGTCCTCAGCCCAAAAGTTTCCGAGGCAATCCGTAGAACTTAATGGGCCAACAGGTAGTAGTTCGGGGATCAATCCGCAAGCGGCGTGATCGAGCTCATAGAAAGAGTTGCAGAGGAGCCAGTTCGAGATTCGGGCAGTCTTGTTCACGGTCATAGCATGTCTGAACATGATCTCCTGCCTTCTTTGGTCACCTGGACAGCGCCACAGGAAATCCATGGTCTTCACGGCAGGAAGTTTCGGCGAGAACTGGATCACAGTGTCCGAAGAAGCAGATCCTACAGAGAAATCTGGTGAGGATTTCATTTTCACTTTATCTTCCTCTAATTATGCTTTCAACTTTGCCTGTGTGACAGGTGATAGTTTGCCTTTTCTAAGGTTGTTTCGATTTTGACTGTCCCAAATGTGTGCTTATATATACTTAAAACAGGTGGTGAAAGCACAACATTGGAAAATCACATGCTCAAAGAGACTCCTTGTGCTATCCTTTTCAAAGCTAAAACAAGTCGAAAGATACATACCACAGTTGTCGATTACGCCGGCCTCAACGAGACGTGGGACGAAGAGCGATAAGACCAGGCCTGGTACAACAGTAGGCCAAAACATGGCCCTCTTGATCCCCATTTTCTCGGCAACCTCGAAAGCCCATCCGATAGTCCCATCGGCTATGACACAGGTAACCTTTTCATCCGGAGACGAATTCATCTTCGTCAACAGCTCCTCGAAATGACGGGACATGACCTTCACCCTCATCTCAGCAACTTTCTCTATGTCCCTCATGTCCTTAATCTCTTCCATCCCGTCCGGAATGGTTGCTATCTCAATCCCATCCTGACGATGATCATTGTCCTCCGATGCTTCGAGCATTCGAGTATGAACAGACTTCGTGTTTACGAACGTCACCCTGATCCCGCGACGAGCGACTTGGCTCGACAGCTTCATGAGAGGCCCCACGTGGCCTTGTGCTGGGAAGGCTATCGCTAGAACGTGTGGCCGCCTTTCCATACTTTCCGGCACCGCCGATAGATGACTGCCCTGCGTGTGTGTGTGGGTAAGTGTGGGCGGGTGTGCGAGACAGTAATGTTGTTCTATATTGGTCCAACAGAAAACTATATATGAGCTATCACTGGACCAAAGTTGTGTTGGGAATGGACAAGTTCGTGCATCATCTGAGTTGGTCTTTCTGTCTGTCAGCATATGAATAATGAAAGGTTCCCCTCAACTTGGATTAGAAAAACTGAAAGGTATTCATTAATCGTCTATGTCATCAGATGATGTCAAAAAGCCTTTTCAACAGACCAGTACCATTGACCCTTGCTCGACACTCAAAAAAGCTCAATTGCTCACGAGACGAGAAGCAAATCAAATGCAAGGCAAGATTGTCTAAATTCTACTTTCGTTTTTTTCTTCTCTCTGCCTTGAAGATTTTCTACATTCTGGATCCCAATTTGATGTCTACAGAGGATCCAAAGCTACCACCGAAGGAGGATAGCCAAGTGCAAAAGCTGTTGAAGGGGTCAACAAGGAGAGGAAGAAACATGAAGAGGACGAATAGCTCTGTCGGGGGCATATCTTGAACACACTATCCCATCGATTGTATGATTTATTCACTGAGATGAAATCTGCTAGAGACATATAGAATGCACTCGAATTCAAGTACAAGGTAGAGGAGCAAAGTGCAAATAAATATTTTAATCGCAAAGTATTTTCGTTTTAAGTTTATTGATACTAAACCTTTGTTGGAGCAAGTCTATGAATTGCAAGTGCTTCTCAACAAAATTCGTGCCCTCAAAATTGACATTCTAGAACCCTTTGAAATTGGAGCATTGCAAAATTGCCTCCAAGTTGGAAACATTATGGGAAAAGGCTGATGCAAAAGTTAGAGGACATCACTTTGGATCTAATTCAGAAACATTTTTGAATTGAGCAAGAATCACGTTTACGTGATCATTCTGGATTTATATGATACCAAGGTGAATGCTGTGGATTGTAATGGATTTCAATCCAAAAACCACCAGGCGGGCTTGATAGCGACGGAAATCTTTAGCGCAAGGTTCCCCATCGTGAAGTGCACGAAGGGATAGGGATCCATCTATGAAAGAGGGTGCGACAATATCCTCCCTCAAATTCTTTTTATAAAATATGAAGAAATTGTACCCATATATGGAAAGAGAAAAATATTTTAAGATTTAAACCTTTTTTTTTTTGGCAATGCCGTTTGTAAGATAAAAAAAAAATGTTCGCCATTTGAAGATTGAAATCCACGAGAAATGAAAGAAAATTATTAATTTACGAGTTTGTCTATTGATAGAATATTTATAAAATAATGAACAGACGAGAAAATTATCTAAAAAGTCCTAAACCTTTTGTACAGTGACCAATTTAGTCCTAAACCTTTCAAATGTATCAATTTAGTCCTAAAATTTTTGACGATTTGCCAATTTAGACAAAAACTTTTCAATTGTACCAATTTAGTCCTAAATCTTCTGACGATTTGCCGATGTAGTGCTTTTGGCCAATTATCCAAATAATTAATTTAGGACTAAATTGGCAAGTTTTCAATAGATTTAGGACGAAATTGCCACAATTGAAAGGTTTAAGACTAAATTGTTAAATCTTTTAAAGGTTTAGAATTGAAGTGACCGTCGTACAATAAGTTTAGGACTTTTTTTTACAATTATCCCCTTAATAGACAGATTTTTTGGAGAAGAAAGATAAGGATAGTGATCCCTTAAAAGCAGGAGGTCCTCTTCACTTTATACAATATAGATTAGCCGAATCTGGAGAGTTAGTGTTGCATTTTGTTTTGAAAAGGACCTAGAATGTGCTGCATATTGATGAGTGAGGGAAACAGGATTCATTTGAAACCGGATTTCATGGGTAACGCATTAGCACAGGAAACTTTATTTTGACCAATTCAACGTGGGTCACTTAAGCAATTATATGTATATGGAAGAGACAAAGGGGTGTTCAACTTGTGATCAAGAAAGAAAGCCCAAGATAAACGGTGACATTGGGAAACCATTTGTCTACGAAGTTTATAAGTTATTTGTATGCATGTGATCTCCCACTATCTATCAGCTTAAGTTTTTGGATTGAACATTCTAATATGGTACTAGAGCCGGGTTATGTCTCAGTTTATTTTGTCGCGTGCGACCCCCCATTTCTCAAATTCCATGTGTTATTCACGTTAGTGCATGTGATCTCGCCTCACTGGTTTAAACTTTCAAGTTAGATGTTCTCATGAGGACTACACAATGACTATGACTTTCCCTATATCAAAGCAAATTCTCTGCGAAGTACCTTCTTGTCAAAATGAAAACTTCAAAAAAAATTTAATCTTGGGAAATTACAACGGGTGGCTTTTTTGAATCGTCAAGACCTTTGTTTGTATAGAAAACAACAAAGACAAAAATGGCTGAAAGGCAAGCTGTGGGCTTTGGCAAATGGTGATATATAGAGCGAGAGAGATGCAACAACCATTCAAAGCGTATGCTCTCTATCCGATAGTAACATTACCTAACACTTTGTTCACACAACCACTTCACTTATAACACACATACACAAGCCTCAAACCTACTCTCTCCTCATTTCTATTGTAGCTAACCCACCCCAATAATTCTCCAATCCTTTGAACACACATCTAATTAGCAACACTAATCCAAATAATAACACTCTCTCTTCTAAGGCCATGACGCCTCTCTCTTTCATTCTAGCCACAATAGCCATATTCATCTTCCTCCACTCCCTCCTCAGCAACCTCGCCCGGCCTGCCCGCGCACTCCCGCCCGGCCCAAAGCCATGGCCCCTCATCGGGAACCTACCCCATCTCGACCCCATGTCACCACCACTCCATGGCGGCCCTAGC